TCTACTCACAATATCTGTGAGTATGTTCTTCGGAATTTGTGAGTATTTCTTCAGAATTGGTATTTTATTTTAAATTATATAATAACAATAAAATTAAATTTACAAAAATGTCCACTTCCAAAGGTTGGGGTGAGTTAATTTTGTTGGACACAAATGCTGAAAAGAGAGTAATTTTTTCAAGTAGAGTAAAAGTAATGGTAGAGCCTACCAATTCCGAAGAAATACTCACAAATCCGACTCATTTTGGTCGGAATTACAATTCCCATAATTTGAGATCGAAGAATTTCATTCCTTACATGAGAAATGATATAATTTTAAGTAATGGAATTCTATTTCCGTTCAATTTTGTGTGTTCCAAAATGTTGTAAGTAAACTCGACTAGCAGGATCTCGCAAAACTTTAAGAGGAGTGTGATCATTAGAAAATGCCTCTTATTGCACTAGACGATGATGATCCGACCCTAAAGTTGGCCCTACTCTGGACCATTACATCCATGTAATACATTTCCCAATCCTTCTCTTCCTTTCCCTCCTTTATTTTTCACAACAACTATATACATACATAAATAATAAAATTATTTTTAAAGTTTAAATAAGAAATATTGGATTTCTCAAAAGAATATTCTATTTTTGCTATGAAAATAATGTATTATTATGAAAATGTTGTAATTTTTTTTATGAATTGGTAGTATATCATAAAAAAAATGAAGTACTAGTGGCAACACACCTTGCTAAATAGGTCACACTTACAATGAATCAACATACTCCTTATACCTCCTATATTCAATCAAACCCAAAATGAATCTATAATAAGTCTTATGCAATGAATCGGACATGAAGCATTTCAACTGTTAACAACATTCCATAAATAAAAGAATAGCATTAGTGCCCACAACGACTTCAACTTCCTTGTCGGACTTGACCCAGTAAGTCTTCTTTGGATCTCTTAACACCTCGCCTGCCAAATCGAACTGAGCATCGCTCTCCAGATCACCCTACCAGTCTGTGCTCTGCTTGATTTTCCTGATGTTCTACTACTCCACTATAGCTCTATGTCCTAGATATCACTAGGAGAGCGAGAAGAGAAGTTGGAGAACAACCCTACATACAGAAACTTATACACAACACATGCAACAAATAAATGGTTTTGAGATTCCAATTCAACATCACACGACAAATAGTAGACCCTTCATAGCCCCACCTTAACATCTTCTCACATGTTACTATGTGATTATAAATAATCATCTAGGTTAAGAACTGATCTTTTGCCTTTCTAGGCCGTAGTAGGTCCCGAACCATTCTGATTTGATACTTCTCATGGGATTACCATCCCAAAACACTTCCCCCTGACCACTGATAGCCTTTGAAACCCTTAGCTGATCAGCCAAGAGAGCTAATTCGTTAGCTTAATTGTTATTCCTTGGCCTATCACCCAAGATAGTGAAGTTTCTTCACTAGTTGTGCCCTCCTTACAGTGTATGAACACATTCTTACACATTTGAATTCTATTCGGTCGATCTTGATATATAGCTAGGGGAAGCAATACCCGGGTGAATCTTTCTCATATAGATTCTAGAACAATTTACCTTCTTTCTTGCTTTAAATTATAGTCCTTAGTTATCACTCAAAACCGATTGCTAGATAACATTTTAAATGGTTGAAGTAGGAGTACATGGACTGAACCAGGTTGACATTTTAAAACGCTTCCCCTATACTACACCCTAATAGAGTATATATTTGGGCTCTAGTCGGGATTTAATTGTGGTAGTTGGAGTGAGTAAATAGTATTCAAATCAAAATATAATCTCCTTCTACCCTCCTCTTCATTAGATGCATAAACAAAAGTTATGAAAATGATTACTTGAACTCACCAAAGCATGAATTAAGTTTTATGCAACACTGTCAGCTAAATATCTTTCCTCCAGATTAATCAGAGTTTCCCCAGTTGAGTATCATTGTTGGCAACCTTGCTCTTCCAATCCGGAAACCTTTATTTAATAAGCTCAGCAACTATATATGCTTTCATTCGTGGCTCAAATGCGGCTACTATATCTAAATTGTATTTATTCAATAGTTTATGTATAACTTTATTCTTATCAGAGTCCTTAAAACCCCTAGTATATCCATGTCAAAATCTCCATCGCCTTTTATCCCCACGACCACCTCTCTTCACCTTGGGAACTAAATAGAGAGTGATAGGTTTTTCTTGTATCCAAACCCCCTTCCCATGATGCTTTGAGCTAGAATGCACTATTGTAGCTGGCAGTACAGGCAGCTTCCAAGAATCATCTGATGAACTGCCTATAATAGCCGATTTCACAATAGCTTGAGGGCTCCCAACATTAGTCGGTGACCCCCTTAATATCCGAGCAAAACTAACAGTGGCCCCATGATTTGATGCATGAGATCCTATTCCTAGATTATGAATATTAGTACTCGTTGTAGAAGCTCATGTGGCTTCCTTACCAGCTTCACAATCTAAACTTCTTGATCCACATTACCAGGAGTATTCACAACAGATTGTTCCTTCTCTGGAATGGAGCCTGCCTCCTTAATCTCAGCCACCACTTCTGTCCTGACTTCCTACCCTGCCACAACAGTAACCTGCCTAGAGTTCTGCCTTTGCTTCTATTGCTTGCCACTCTTTGCCAACTTCTCGCAGTCATGACAATAAACCTCACACGGGGAAAAACTAAGGCCCTGTTCACTTCCATTTTCGTTTCCTGTTTTCTGTTTTCATGTTATAAATTTGGCAAACGAAACGAGAAAACATGTTTACTTTTCATTCTGTTTTCTATTCGTTTCCAACTCTGAAAACAGAAAGTGGTAGCTTCCTCCTGTTTTCGAAAACGAAAAAATGTCGTTTTCACCTGTTTTCAACATCTGTTTTCTCAAAAACAGGAAACAGAAATGAAAGTAAACAGGGCCTAAGGGTTTGTTCAAGTATTCAACATCTACAACAAAGTCTGGATCATCATTTGGATAAAGTCAAACTCGAGAGGGAAAACTGCAGTCGGTCGGTAGATCAACACAAACTTTAGCATACCCAAGTTGAGCACCAATCTTCGTAGGGTTGTCCATCCAAAGATGAGGTCCGATTGTACTTGCCACCTATTCCAACCCCTCAAAAGAGTGATACTCTAATGGGATCCCCCAGATCCTAACCTAGATCGGTAAGGTTTCAATCACCGATGCTACCGGTTGGATTCCCGGCGCCCATTTTCTGAAGAATATTTGGTTACCCTAATAATGCCAAGGTCCATATTGAAATACCCGCTTGCTAGTCGAGGCAGAAGGGAACTAAAAAGCCAGCAGTCTTGGACCAAATTTAGAAACACGAACAACTCCATCTCTCCCCCATAGGGATGTCGCCCACTGCTGGAGAAGTGTAACCTTCGGGATCAGCCCAATAAACTGTCTGATGGAACAATCGTTCATTTTTCCAAAGTGTGTTGTAAATTGGCTTATCCGTCCCTAACCCTATCTGACCCGTCCCTGAAGTGTCAACTTGTATAAGTGACTCATCCCTTCCATGTTCCCTTCTTGATCCTGTTTGACCCTCTGGGGTCGGGATGGAACGAGTCAGGATAACTCAGTGGCTCTTTAGGGTCAACCGTACACCCCTAGTATAGATTAGAGTTTCGTCGTCATCTTGCTTAACTCCCCAAGTTAGTGCCTTGCTCTGCTTTGATTATTGCCACGAGATTAGGTGAGTGCGTTTTCGGTGGATCACTTTGGAGGGAAACCATTATGTTGTGAGGATAAATAAAAGAAGTGCAATTGATTTTATTGCTCTATCAGGCTCGATGATTTAACATTATTATTTAGTAAATTTTATGAGAATGTCTTGAATTCTTTATAATTGAATTAAGTCTTATGAAGACGTTAACGATATGGTGTCTAATGAATTCATTTTTGCTGTAACTTTTGATGGTGACTCGCAACTGATGGAAGGAAGCTACAACTTCACTGGTTGGGGCAATTTTGGAAGATATGTTTTCCTTTAATATCTTTTGTGTCTATATATTGTATTTTTCTTTATTTTCGAATTAATGTCGTATCTTTCTTTAAAACTCTTTAAAAATTCTTCAAAATTGTTCATATAGTGACATTACATGCTTTGAATTTGATACAAACTATCGTATAATTATGTCAATATCATGAAATTTATAATTGAATCGTTCATCGTTGGATCACGCTCCTTGGTCTTGCCTTTGGAAAAATAATTTGGAAGCTTTGGCGTAGGCGTCTTCGCTCCGTCCAACGTGTAGGGCTGGGAAAACGGTTGGCGGTTTGCGGTTAAACCGACAACCGCACCGAAACCGCGCGGTTATTGGTTAACCGCAAACCGCATATTTGGCCTATTTTGCGGTCGCGGTTGGAGATATGGCATGTTTTGCGGTTTGCGGTTTAACCGCAACCGAAACCGCAAATCCATATAACCGCAAAGCTAACCGCGAAACCAGACCCAGCCCATAATTCACCCCCAGCCCAGCCCATAATTGACCCCAGCCCAGCCAGCAGGATTGTGGCATTGTGCATTTGTGCTTGTGGATTGTTTTATTTGGATATGCAAACAGATGCAAGGGCTTGATGGAAGTGAAAATAGACAAAACAGTAGCTGCTGTGTTTTTTTTCCATGATTTTTTTTGCGGTTAGTTCGCGGTTAATTGTCGGTTAGAGTGCTAACCGCGGTTTCATATGGTGTTTCGGTTGTTGCGGTTTTCACAACCATAAACCGCGGTTCACCGCTAACCGCGTTCTGCGGTTTTTGGTTAACCGCTAACCGTTGCGGTCGCGGTCGCGGTTGGCCAATATGGGTGCTTTGCGGTTGCAGTTAACCGCAAATTGCGGTGCAGTTAACCGCAACCGCACCGTTTCCCACCCCTACCAACGTGCGCAAATTTACAAAAAAAGCAAAAGGGCGCAGAAGGCATTACTATTTACTCCACGTCTTCCCCATTTGCGCCTCCAATCTATTTGCCGTAACCAGAAATATGTCGACCCGAACTCTGGAACCACAAACCCCAAACTCTTTTTACAAAAAGAATTCGATTTACAATTTCCTTTTATTTCGTCATTTTCCACGACGAGGAAAGAATCCCCATCATCCACAGCGAGCGCACTTCCCCTGCCAGTTTCCCACCCTTTACCTCACCAAAAAGTTTCCCAATCACAATCAAAACCGCCTTCCACAAATCTTTCGAGCTTCCATCTCGTCGCCAGAACAAGTTCGAGTTCAATTTTCGCGTGCTTAACAGACCGAGGACTCGCTCCTCTTGCTGGAGTTGGGATTCTCCCTGCATATCGTGCCGCCGTTGTTTCTGCTGCGCCTGAATTGCACACTGCTAGGGATTCTTCCCCTGGATTCATGTTGTATCTAGCTAGATGGTTCTTGCCCTCCTTCTTCTGCCTTCGCCCTCAATTCAGTTGGGGCAACTGATTTCAACACCTTCCCCGCTACTTGTTCTCAATGAGTTTGCAGTCTGCTTCTGCGAGCTTCGACTTCTCATCCTCTCTAAATCTTCTACCCCAGCTCTGTCCCTGCAGGAGTTCGTCACTAGCTGCCTGCCATCCCGGTAAGAGGAGGAGGGGAGCCAACTTCAGGCGGGAATCCGGTTCTCGTGCTTGCGCAATCCCCAGCGATAGGTACGGTTACGGGAACTGCACTGTCAATGTAGATGACTTGGCCAGTTCCGCGAGACGGGGTGCTCAGAGCATCATTCTGGATCGAATTTCCAACGAGCTGGAGGATGAACAGGATGTGTCTTCGTCTTCCTCGGTGCGGATGGGATCCAGTTTTTCCAGTTATCAACAGGATCCAATGGTAAATAAGTTGAGGACTCAGTTGGGGGTCATTCATCCAATCCCCTCGCCTCCCGTTAATGGGAACATAGCCGGGTTGTTCGTTGTCTTCTTCTTCGTAGGGGTGCTTTGTGATAAACTGTGGACCGCGAGGAGGAGGAAAGCAGGGAATGAAGATGGCCAGCTCGGGACGTGGCCGCAAGTTCCCACAAGCTTCTCCTTGTTCTTGGAGAAGGACTTGCAGAGGAAGGAGTCGGTGGAGTGGGTGAATATGGTGGTGGGCAAGTTGTGGAAGGTCTACAGAGGTGGGATTGAGAATTGGATCATTGGATTGTTGCAGCCGGTCATCGACGATCTGAAGAAGCCGGATTATGTTGATAGAGTAGAGATTAAGCAATTCTCATTGGGGGATGAACCATTGTCTGTCAGGAACGTAGAGCGTAGGACTTCTCGCAGGGCCAATGACTTACAGTAAGTTCATAATTTGTTAATCTATAATATGTTGCGCCATTTCTAATGTTCCTAAATCCATGATGTAAATTCACACAAGTCATGGGAACCAAATTTCATATGGAAGTTTACAGTAGATACGACGACCACTGGCCATATGTAAGTCCGTAAGTGCAACTGGTGAAAATCACTTACCGTGGATTTTGCTTTGGCCTGGGTTTTCTAAATATTGGATTTAGATTGAATCTACGACGAGTCGATAGCATTGGATTGAGTTCATTGTGGTGATACTGGATAATTGGCTAACTAACTAGAAGAGGTGTTCATCTGTAATACACATGTCCTTTACTGGAACGCGTTTAAAGTATTTGATTGAGTTCGATGTAATGTTTTCTGCATATTAGGCTAACATCAAGAGGTTTAATCTATATCACATATGCCCTTTCCAGTGTATAGTGTGCTCTTGTTCCCCTGGTTTTGGGAAGCAACATCACTATATAGACAGTTATACTAAACTCAAAGGCTAATATCCTATTTACTTTTGTATCATGAATTTTAGGTACCAAATAGGCATCCGATATACAGGAGGTGCTCGCATGCTTCTTATGCTTTCTCTAAAATTTGGAGTCATACCGGTTTCGGTCCCGGTCGGTGTTAGGGACTTTGACATTGATGGTGAACTTTGGGTCAAATTAAGGTTGATACCAACCGCACCTTGGGTTGGAGCTGCTTCTTGGGCTTTTGTCTCACTCCCGCGGATCAAGTTTGAATTATCACCTTTTCGCTTATTCAACTTGATGGGTAAGTATGGTTTTGAAACCGGCTGTTGGTGAGCTTATATACGTATTTTACTTGAATAATTACATTAATATATATTTAGCATTCCTGTAGTTTTCTGGTATGATTATGTGCATCCCTCATACAAAACATCAGGGAGTATAGTGGTCACTTGCTTTATTTTAGGGCCCTGGGGATCTTCATAAGCCCCCAGGACATGTATGTAGAGGTTAGGAATTTTTCTTTTCATTTAGGGTTGTTGAAGCTATGGTATTGTGCTCTCTGGAAAGACTTTGTTGATGGTTCTTCTGATCAGAGGCTATCAGACTGAATATTCTCTTAGAAGATAATTTCCTATCCTTTGTTGTATGGTTGCTTAACTGCATGATATGTTATTATTTGTGTCAAGTAATCTCTTACATATTTGTGGAATTCATAAATGGATGAAATCCTGATACAAGTTTCTTCCTTTCTTTTTTGCATGTTTCCTGCAACATCAGCTATTCCCGTTCTCTCTAGGTAGGAGGAATTTGCTTCTGAATCCTGTCTTTCTATTTCCACAAGGTTGTTTCACTTGATGTTTGGGACCATATATGTCTACACCATAGTCTATGGACTTGCATTTAGTTGGAACACCACGGTTTACCTGCTTAGAAATCTTCAGTTTTGGGTCAATGAACCCTAGATGATCATTACAATAAGACAATGCTCCCTAATTAGACTTTATTCACTAAATTCTTTATCCTATTCTGAAGGTTATATCCAAGCTTTATGAGAATATTTGATTTTCTTATTCGCCACATAATGATCCTGATAGATACCATACCATTATATTCGACAGTATGATTAGATGAGCAAGAATATGAATTACTTGTTAATATGCTTTCAAATTGACATGACACAATGGATTAAGATCGTTGTTGTCAATATCCTAGATTAGAGATACTCCTGTTTTGGCTTCATAAGTACAATGCCTTTATTGCAAGTGCTATCTGTGCTAGGACATTTTGGATGCTTTATGGTCCCGCAGTAAATGGTTAATCTGTAATTTTTAGGTTCTTGACAAAACTTCTCACCGTGGACTTGCCTCGCTTGTTCGTTCGTCCAAAGAAGATTGTTTTGGATTTGCAAAAGGGAAAAGCAGTTGGGCCTGTGGCAGCTGGTTCACAAGCTAGAGAAACACAAGAAGGAAACAAGGATTTTGTTGGTGAATTATCAGTGACGCTTGTGGATGCTCGGAAACTTTCTTACCTCTTATATGGTAAACTTGCTTTCTTATTTTTCACTGTCTCTGGAAATCTGCCCCTCATATTCTGCAGAAAAGTTCTGGTTCCTTAGCTTTTTTCCTTTCTGATTCCTGATTAGCATCCAATTAGTGTATTTGTTCTCCTCAATTTCTGTCTCTCGTAACGCATCTTAATTGTTTGCTCTGTATTCTATCATTCTTCCACTTCTCATATTTGCATGACAATCATGTAAACTAGATTTTCTTGTAACTCATATACAGCTACAAGTCTGATACACGAGTTCCTTCTTCTAAATCAATTGTAACTCGATTCAGGTATTGAAATTTTGTATTCGTACTCAAAAGGTGAAGTGGCACATCTGTGTTTAAAGGAATCCACTATATGAAGCTGCTGCACTTGCCCTGTTGATATTCTAACAGTCATTGCATGATCAAGCCTAGGATCTTACAGCTTTGCCATGGCAATGAAACACAGAGATGCAAATACGTATTTGCATATCCCATTTTACCAGATAAATAATTGTCCCGTCATACTTGTTTTGTTTATATTGATGACACTTTGATGAGGACTGCTAAAATCGGTTGGATTAGATAGTTTCCACTTATACTGTTTGCTGTGTCTGCTAGGTAAAACTGATCCATATGTTGTTCTAAGTCTGGGGGATCAAGCAATACGCAGTAAGAAGAACAGTCAGACAACAGTAATTGGACCTCCTGGTGAGCCAATATGGAATCAGGTGATGCTATTTATTTTTCATAAATATTGACCAGAAGCAACTATATGGTCTAAATTGCTGCAACTAATTAACTAATTACAGTTTTCTCTAAATACAACAGGATTTTCATATGCTTGTTTCAAACCCTCGGAGTCAAAAACTGATTGTCCAAGTGAAAGACTCTCTTGGATTCAGAGATCTGACCATTGGTACGGCAGAGGTAAATGAACCTTACTTGAAGTCTCTGGTTTTGAAGTTCATAATCACCTTATGGTAAAGTGCTGCCCTTGGAAAGACTCGTTGCTGAAGGTTTGGGGTTGCATGGTAAATGGACTCTTGTAAAAATGTATAAGAGTGAGTTGAGACCTTGTTCTGTGAGCCAAATTATGGTAAAAATGTATATGCACGGCCTAGTTACTGGGTCACATCTCTTAATCTGACCACTGCAGGCTCAATCTTTGGCCTCTGGGGCTTACAGTCATCTATAATTGAGACACTATGGATGGCTGAGAAACCTTTGAGACGTGGCTGGTTTGGCCAGCCTTAATGACTTGGAATGATTCTGTTCCAAACACTTCTCTCCTAATCTGACTGTAAAGTATAATTTTATCATTATTAGAAATTAGAGGTTATATTGCTTTGCTTGCATGATCTCTCCCCTTAAATTATTCTCTATGTGAGAAAAATAGTTTCTAAAGAAGTAATTGAATTGGATTTTCTTGAGGTACAAAGTTGGATACTATTCAGTTACCTTACAGAGGTTGCAGACTGCAAAGCATGCATTGGCTACAAAAACCAACAAACAACAATTAATGCAGTGAATCCTTTTCACCTGTGTGATTGACTTGATTTGCAGGTTGACCTGGTGTCTCTGCAAGACACAGTGCCAACGGATAAGATTGTGGTTTTGCAAGGGGGCTGGGGGCTATTCGGGAAGGGATCTGCCGGAGAAGTGCTGGTTCGGCTAACATACAAGGCATATGTGGAGGATGAAGATGATGAGAGGGCTGCTGAGTTGGAGTCTGTTGACACAGACACATCGGATGATGAAGTGGACATTGATGAACTTGACGCAGTTTACGAACCTGCAGATCAAAGGGATTTATTAAATGGAACAGACAAAGAATCCTTCATGGACGTTCTTGCTGCTCTGATTGTGAGTGAGGAATTTCAAGGGATAGTAGCATCAGAGACTGGAAACAATAGAGTAATGGACAATTTGTCCAACGGGGGAGCCACGCTTCCTAGGCCCTCCTCCCCAGGTGTGAATGCTGAATCCAATTCAAGCCAGAGTTCCCAAGGTTCAGGAGGTAAAATGTTATTTCCTCCATCATACTATGCAATCACGCAGTGTGTTCTTGGTACATATTATACATTCTGATGATGTAGCACCGTTTTGGGGATGGCAGGATCTGTATTGCTGGGACTTGCTGCGATTACAAGCATATTGGTGCTAATATCTCTCAGTTCCAGCGGATCAAGTATTTTTAACCCTTGAATGTAGTGGTTGTGACTTGTGAAGCAACCTGGTCTCTGAGCTAGCAGTAAGGGCGGGTTCCATTTAACTGATTCGGTTTGAAGAAACGGCCTACTGTGGTGGTCTGGTTTCGAGGTATATGTTTGGCAGAGGAAGGCTTTGATTCGGCAGCATATACAATGCGGATGGGGTGTTGGATTGGATACTAGAGCGTTAGTTTTCTTTTTACCCTGCAAATCATTCCGTTTGTGGTAGCTGGTAGGGTTCTAAGAGGGCCTTGGCAGTGAGTTGACTTGTTACAGAGGCTTTTGGTTTTAGTTTTAGTCATATATTTGTAAGGGGATTAGGGGATGATGGAGCTTCCCCACTTGCGGAATTGGGAAATGAGAAGGGCCCTGACCAGCTCTTTTTCTTTGTACAAACTTGATTATTTTATAGTCATTAGGAGAAGTTATTTTCACAGTTTGTGATCCTTGTAGCGCAAGAAACCTAAATTTGCGGTTCACCTCTTTCTAATTGGTTCTTCAGCTGCGCTTGCCTAGCTGGCGTTCTCGGCAGGTCTGCAACTCTTGCTATCTTCTTTTGTTCAGCGCATTTACCACTCTTTTTTTTATTCTGCTGCCTTGTATGGTTATCTAAGATTTCCCTTTCCTTTTGCCGTTTCTTGCAGATGTCGTTGGCCGTTTGCATTCGATAAGTGGGGTTTCACACAAGATAATGAACAACAGATATTGACAAGGTTATATCAGCAGAAATACCAAACCCTGAATTGGATCCAGTGAGTTATGGTGTCGTTGTTAAGTATAGCTTCATGGACCTTGCGGTCAGACCAATACAGGTGTTCCATGCATGAAAGATAAGAAAGTGTCATCAAAAGGTAAATGATCCAATAGTTTCCCTAAAGAATTCAATTCATCAACCACATTTGACAGCTTTGGTAACATTGTTTACAAGAGAACAGACTCTGCTATATATGTGGAGAAGGGAAATGCCATATTGGATAATCGACATGTTGTCCCGTACAATTAAAATCTGCTAGTCAAGATGTAAGCTCACATCAATGTAGAAGTATGTTACAAAGGAAAACTCATAAAGTATATTTTCACATATGTTACTAAAGGGCCTGATAGATCTTTGGTAATTGCTGAGAACTTGGAATCTTCCCAAAGTGATCCAGCAACACAGCCAGTTAGACGAAGAGATGAGATTCAACAGTTTATAGACTACAGGTCATTGTCATCATATGAGGCCGTATGGAGGTTGAATGAGTGTACCCGATACATGTTAGAAAACCAACAGTTCTGCGCCTGGGAGTACATTTGGATGAACAACAGAAAGTGTCATACATGAAACAATTAAACGTTTGTAATGTCCTTCAAAATCCAAATGTTGGGAAAACGCATCTCACTGAATTATTTGCTTTGAACCAAAGAGATCTTGCCGCAAGAAGGCTGACCTATTCGCAAATCCCAAATGAATATTGTAAAGAATGGACTCCCCGAAAGAGAGGTTTTGCTATTGGACGAGTTGCATATGTTCCACCAGGTTCGGGAGATGTCTTTTTCTTGCGTATCATGTTGACAAAGGTGAGTGGAGCAATGAGCTATGCTCACCAAAGAACTGCTAGGGGTGAAGTTTGTGCTGACTTTGAAAAAGCTTGTGACAGGTTGGGCCTCTTGGCTGACTCATCAGAGTGGATAAGGGTTCTTGCTGAGATTTATGCTTCTAGCATGCCAAAATTAATTCGTACCACTTTTGTTTCGATGTTGATGTTCCGCGAGATTCCCAACCCTCTGTCACTTTCCAATTCTGGATGGCGGTCCATGACAAATGACTATGCCTATAGCATCACAGGTGGTAATCAAGCAGGAGTTGAAGGACCAACTGATGAAAGACTGCAGAACTGGGTTGTGCATCAGCTCAAACACCTTCTCGTTGCTCATTCTACATCTCTTGAAGATTTTAATCTCCCTCTTCCAACGATGGTGTCGTCGATGATGGAACTAACCTATTAGTAAATGACCACTTAAATTTTCCTGTGGAACACCAGCAGGATTTGGCAGAAAACATTTTGTGTTCCTTTATGGAGAACAACTCCACGTTTACTCTGCCGTCATTAATTCTGTTCATACTAATACAGCGGAATTTTTTTTATTATATGACCACCACGGAACAGGCAAAACGTTCCTGTACAACGCGATCACAGCAAGACTGAGTGGTCTATCGAAGATTGTCGTCTTGGTTGTTTTATCTGGAATTGCAAACCCTCTTACCCAAGGCAACCACAACACATTCTAGGTTAAAGATACCTCTCACTCTTGATGTGACATCCACCTGCACAATAAAGAAAGATACTCATTTAGCTGAATTGTTGCAAAAAGCTACTTTAATAATATGGTGCGAGGCAGCAATGACAAACAGGCAGTCTTTCGAGGCTGTTGATCGTAGTTTGTGTGATGTGATGGATTTCCCATTGAATGGCCCGCACTACAAGCCTTTTGGAGACAAAACTGTTCTTTTCGGAGGTGATTTCCACCAAACTCGGCCAGTTATAACCAAATTTGGTCGAGAGCAAACATTCAATGGGTCTCTTACAAGATCCCTGTTGTGGAATTCGTTTGGTGTGTGCAATCTATATAGGAACATGTGCATCACAGAAGCATGCCAAATGAAGAATAGTATATTCATGAATACACATTCCTAGAATGGGTTCTTGCTCTTGGAGATCGCCAGCTCAAGACAAGATCCTTCAGGGAAGACACTCCAATAGATTGGTTGTAGATTCCACACGTTTTCTTGGTGCAGCATGGGAATAACCCTACCGAATCTATAGCAATTGAATTCTATGAATCATTTCCTAAAAACTATGGAAGGCCATCATATCTTGCAAGCAGAGCAATTGTAACTCCAACTAATGCAATAGTGTCTGAACTGAACAATTATACGTTACTACACATTCCGGGTGTCACCAAGACATACTACAACTCATATTTATTACTTCAGTTGACTAACACACCTGAATCTCTCCCTTGGCCTCTACAATGGAATACGAGTTATGATTACATCGTTGGGCGATAGTGTCATCAAGGGAACCATCATGGGAGGATCCAATGATACCGACGAAGTTATTATTCCAAGGATCGTAATTAATGTGGAAAATTCCAGATGTCCATTCATTCTTAAAAGGCGCCAATTCCCAATTAATTTATGTTATGGAATGACCATAAACAAGAGTCAGGGGCAGACTCTTGAGAAGGTTGAGATATATTTGCCTAAACCTGTGTTTAGCCATGGCCAACTATATGTGGGAGTTTCAAGAGTCAGATCGGCCAGGGGGTTAAGGATACTCATAAACAATGAGTCTGATATCCCTAATGACTACACAAGGAACATTGTTTACACCCAAGCATTTGCTGAAATCATTGCCCAATAGCACCTCAGGTACACCCGTTGAGTTCTTTGGTTCACCACCTGTTTATACCGAACAATTACAAATGTATCCCTGAGTTCGATTGTCTATAATCCATAGGCACAACTCACTTTTGGTCAGGAATGGTGCATGCCAGAATCTGTCATATGTTTGTGGTTATTAGAATATGACAGATTAGATATGGCTTTTGTAAGTACATGAAGATAACAGAATACCACAACACATCTGTAAGTATCTTTGTTTAACAAAATAGATTGTTGCCTTCCTTTGTCTCCTATGAGAATAATTGCCATACCCGTTAATCATCTTTTGTCTACTGAATTGCATATTTTGGTTATCCAATGATGTGCAGCCAGGGCCAGTCCACCCAAACATGATGAAATACATGTTTTCTCATTTCAGGCCAGACTCAGATAAAAAAATCAAATGTAATCAGTCTTTAAAGTTTTGGAGCAACATTCAGATAACTTGCACAATGCAACCTGTGTAATATTTATCTAAGATAAAAAAAATATGTTAATCATCTGTGGTCTTCTAGATGACATACTTATTGTGCTTTGTGATGATCTAAATAATTAGTTAGTTCTCTACTTATACCCTGTACAAACTGATGGGTCAACTTCTTTTTGTTGTAAATAAATGATTATCCTTACAACTGATTGTTTACATGAATTCATTTATAATTCATTTTATGATCCAAAAAGGAAATCATCAATTTTTTTCAACATCTGGGTGAGATGTTTTGAAAAATTAGCGCCTTTCAACATTTTGTCCATGAGTCACGGCTCGGAGCTTTATTGCCTTGCACACAATGAGTTAGTAATAAATCACACCCAGTGGCGGATCCAGGGCTGGGCCAACCCAGGCCCCGGCCCAGCCCTCCTCCGGATCCAGAGTCAGTTTAGTGCTTATAAATTTTATCGATTTAGGTATTTGGCCTAGTGCTAGTTAAAATCCTGTCTAGTTTTATTTGATAATAGAATTTTGTGTAACTAGGAAAATGGTTCAGATGAACATATCCAAACCATCACTCTAAATTTATACTAAATTTTCTATACCCCAAATGATTTTATTTGAAAAAAGACATAAAAACCTAAAAGTGTAAAGTTTCATTAAAATAAAATAAAAACTCTAAACTAAAGCACACCCTTCCTTGCAAAATTAAAAAAAATTCCCAATCCCCCCAAAACAAAACAAGAACGAGGAGACGGGCAGACCCAAAATGGATTTCTCCGCCAGCCCGTCGAGCTGGTTTTCTTTCCATTCTTTTGATTAAGAAAATATTTACAAACTTGTTGAGTTATCATTTAAATTGCCTCAATTGAGTGGGGCACTAGATTCTAACCGTTCTTTCTGGTGTTTTGATGAAGAAAATATTTACAAACTTGCTCGAGAGTTTAGCCTCGAGATTTTGAAGGCTATGAGATGCATTCTTTTGGAGAATGCACTACTCATGTGAGGAAGATGAAGTTTCTTCTCTTGCAAAATTATTAGAGAAGCTGGAGGAAACAGGGATGGACACACAATACAAATTGATTTGTCGGTTGATTTGTCTAGTGTTGACCTAGCCGTTTCAACAACTACCATGGAGAGAATATTTTCAGCAATGGAACATGAACATTGATTTGTGCAACAAAATGAGCGATGAATTTCTCGTTGATTACTTAGCTATTTTCTTTGAAAAAGAGTATATTATCAGTATGGATGGAGATTATATTATTGATGAATTTGTTAAATTAAAAGATCTTCTTGTACAATTGGCATTGTAATGAAAACTATATTATTATATATTTTTGTTTATGGTATCTAATATTCTATTCAAATGCGGCCCAGTGCTCTCTTATGTCCTGGATCCGCCGCTGATCACGCCTGCCACTCTGAGAGTGATTACATAACATATGATCTTCTAATTGCAACTTAGAACCCCAGAATCTAACAAAACCATGTCTCGCTTTTGATTCGGGAATTTTAGTGCCAATTCTTGACATTCTTCCCATGTTCTTCGTCCAAAATTTTACAAATACAATGATTGATCCACCAAAGTGAAAAGAGAAGCCAAAACCCGTTTGCTAAAAAAACGACAATCGTTCCATTTACCTGCCAGGTTACCAGCCAAATATAAACATTGAGCTCACAAATATGAAATTAAACTGTTGTTTGTCAACTTTTAAAACTGAGCCAAATTATTTCCCCCGCCGAGAAATAGGAAGCCCATTTCGGCCCTCCATTTACTTTTTATTACCACTTACATTCTGCTTCCACACACTACCCCATTAATTAACCCTAAATCACAATCTGCGCCCTTTCACTCAGCAATCTAAAGGGTTCGAAATCAGTCCTCCCGCTCGGCTCGACCAGTGATTGCAATCATGCCACGTGATTACCAGATCCTTGTCGACCAAGAAGGTAATATATACATCTTCCCCTAAATTTACATATAGCACATACACGAAATAGAACTTAAGAATGATTTCGGAAATCCATGCCGCATATCCTATCGTTTCCTTTGCAACTTTTCAAGGCCTGTGTGTAGGAGTGTATAACCAGATGCTCATAGCTCGACTCCTAAAAAAATGTGCTCACTATGTGCAAGTCTCTGGGCAGCCGCCCATGATCATGCATATGCCGTGCTCACTTTTCTAACACTCGCTTTTTGGTTCTTGCATTTACAGTTTAGAAACTGGAATTCCGAACTGCCATATAAGAGTAATGGTTTTGAGATTGGTCGTATTACTAATTACTCTTTATCCAAAACCCCCAATGAAATTGGTTAAAAATCTTGAAATTGCCTTGCGGGAACAACTTCTTGAAGGCTATGCTGAGGGAGAAGCCGCTCAAGAGATCTATGACAAGGTCCGTGTAGGATGGTTGTACCGCATGGAGGGCTTTATGATTATCGCTGCCAGTGTAAAGAACCGAGTAGTACCTGCTAAAATCCAACTGCGCTTCACTGAACAACATACTTTCAGTCCTGTGAACGAGAACCGTGCAACCCCAAGTTTCCCACTAAATCAATTCCTTGAGACTCCATTCGAAGCTGTAACATTCATCACATACAATCTACTTTGCTGCGCAGGTAAAATATATAACGCTTTTCTCCGCAACAAAATGCATACGCTGAGACCTTCACGACTCCTAAAGTCTTGGCAAACGGGGTATCCAGAATCCAACTTAAACTGCAGGATGCAAGGTATGAATCATTGACACAGTGTGGGTGCAACATTGACAGTTCAGATAGTTAAAGAAATCTTGCTATTTTTGTATCTATAGTGGTGTGATGGCCACACTCGACTACTTTGTTATATATACCACTCGGTTCCTACAACTCGCAGCATGTGCATGATCTTGCTTGCCACTTATCATTATATTTACAACAACGGGGAGGCAAGCTGGCACAACTGACAATGAATCTGCATTTAGTTTCCTATCTACCAACGCCAGTCGATTGATCATAGGGACATGCAATCACATTTATGAAGACATTATTAACATGTTATCAAAACAGTTTCAATTAGAAATCTTGAACATCCATCTATATACCAACATTTGCTCAATTGATTGCACACACACAATACTACATATTATTGTCACTTCTTTCAGGTTCAGTGGATTTTGCTGGCCCATCACTTTGGTGGATAGAATTACTAGGAAGCATGCTGGCGATCTTCGGGGACATCCTCCTCGCAGGAAAACACTTGTTGAGCTTTCAGAGTACATGGAATCCTTTCCAAAAAAATATGAGGTATGAACTAGATTCGACTGCCTAGCCGATGCAACTGCATTTATTTTAATACCAAGTTTTTGGGCACTATGGACCTTTGTTAACTGCCCATCTGCAAATGTTGTTCAAATAGTTTATTTATGCATGGTGAAAATGAATGAATTGTACTATGGTTCGGGGATCTGCAAGAACGTTCCTGGTTGGGAGATCTTTGTTAACCTAACCTACTACTAAACAACCAACCAAGTGGTTGGGAGATCGCTAGAGATGAGACAGTTGCTTAGGGTCAAGTCATCCTAGTTATGGTTGTCATGTTTGGTTAAGCGAATGTGGTGAGTGAGCTCTTTTCCGTGGGCCTTCGTGATGATCTACACGCCTATAGCTTCGCCAATTCAACTCTCCCTCATCATCGCTCGTTTGGTACATAAAAAAACTCTTCAAGGAAAGCTAGTGACTTAGCTACAATTTCGCGCTCTTCCAATGTTAGATTATTGAACAAGTGAATGTTGCGTTTTTTCCACATATAACATACGGTTATAACAAAATAACTTAGGTCTTCATCTGGTGTTCTTTCGATTATTTCACATAGCCAACCTTCGCAATTCTAATCCTTTCCCCAATCTGAACAAATTTACAGTAAACTTGGTCTCTAAACTCTCCCTGTCCAATCACAATCCCTTGTTATATGTTCTTGAGTTTATCGAAGCCCACAAAACAAACATTCATCACAAGCTTCCATGATTCGTTTGCTCACATTTCCTCCAGTAAAAAGGGTATTGCTACCCCAACGCTATAGGAGAACTCTCACATTTGGTGTAATTTTAAGATGCCATTCCATGCGCCAACCCACTGAAACATATCGCTATTCTTCTTCCATCTCTGCTTATTTTTTTCATTCGAAATAATCATACTTAACTATGTTTTCAATTTTTAGAAGAGAAAAAGGAGAAATTTTGAAGATTTTACTTTTTGTTTCCTTTTTCTTTTAATTTATTGAAGAGAAGGAAAGGAGAATTTCGATGTTTTCAATTTTTTGGGAAGAGAAATAGGTGGAATTTTGGTGCGTTTAACTTTTTTGTGTTTAAAAATTTGGTGATTTCAAATATGAATATTGAATTTTCATGTGAGAGTAATCTTAACTAGTAACCCGAACAATCCGATTAAACCTTAACCGAACTACCCACAGCCTAATGAACCCGTAACCCGGTTAACTAGCACCTTAAAAAAACTCCAATCCGAATTACCCATAACCAACTACCTTGTAACCGATAAACCCGAAAACAAATTACCTGTAGCCCGATTGACCAACAATTCAACTAACTCGTAGTCCGATTGATCCCAACCCCCCGAATCCGAATTACCCGTAACCCAACTAACATGTAACCGATGAATCTGAACATAAATGACCCACAACCCAATTGACCAACAATTCAACTAACCGTAGTCCGATCGAACCCAATCCCCAAACCCAAATTACTCGTAACCCAACTAACATGTAACCGATGAACCCCAAACATACATTATCCGTTATCCGATTGACCAACAATTCAACTAACTCACAGTCCGCGGTTGAACCCAACCCAAACTCACCGGGTTGACACCTATACTCACCTAGAGAAAATACATTTATGTCCAATGAAGATTCTGTTAGCAAACGGAAAAGAAAGAAAGAGGAGAAGAGGGCTGGGAGGAAAGGAGAACAAAAAGGAAAGGTGGAGGGAGGGAGCACCTGCACAATAATTGGCATCAAATGCTTATGGGGATTCGCACTGTGCTGAATTCCAAGATCTGAAAAAATAAAATGCTCCACATTATCATTCATTTTCTTTCCCTTTTTCTCCCCGAATTTTATTTCGTTCCCCCACTATTTTCTAATTCTATTCCCGTCTATCTATTTCAAAATAAATTTTTATTGTTATATTCTTCCTCTGTTTAATCTCCCCCCGTTTCCTTTTCATTTCTTTTTTAATCTTTGCCCCCACAGAAAATATTTGCTCTCTTCTTTGCTCGTCACAAGGCAAACGCAAATCCATGGAGAAGAGTGGGAGGGGGAGAGAGAGTGGGAAGAGAGAGAAAAAGCGAACGCAATAAGCTCCCCCAATTAGCCAATTAGGGCTCAGCCCAGAAAGCGAATCCCACTGCTTTCCTTCCCTTCCCTTCCCTCGTCGTCTCTGTCTCTGTAGCTGTTTAGGGCTTCTTTTCATTTGTTGCCATTTGGAAGGAGTAGCTTGATTCTCTCTCCCCCCCTCTTTCTTTCTTTCTGTATTTTGGCTCCAAATGAATGAATTTTGGAATGAAACAATCGGTCTCTGGCTCTCTGAAGTTTGGCAACTAGCTGATGAAGATTGAAGAAGCAGCAGGAGCTTTAGCAGCTGTTCGTCAGGGATTCTGAAAGAAAGGAAAAAAAAAAAAGAAGGGGGATTACAACTTTCTGTTTGATTTTGTGGAGCTGCCAACTTCGTTTCCTGTTTTCCTTTTTGCTGGGGAAGTGGTCCTCGTTGCTGCGGAGTAAAGTTTTTGTGACTGGGGTTTTTTCTTTAGGGTTTTGTCGGAGTGATCTCCAAGCAGTTTGAGCACTTTCTTCTCTGCTAAAAGCCGGCTTTTTTGTTGTCCAGAGATGTGGGTTGGAGTTTCAGGGAGGTAACTTTATAGGTTTGTTAAGGTTTGGTAGTGAATTAGGACAACGGGTAAATGGAAGCCACTGAATCAAGCATGGGATTTCACAGAGACGAAACCTTGGGCTCTGTGCTTGGGGGGCGGGCAATATCTTTTCAATCAGGCGCAATTAACAGCACGTCGGAGATGATTCCCATGGGAAATTACTTCGGGATGAGTAGTTGTACTACTATGGGTATGGTGATGCCCGGGAACTCCACCATGGCCAACAACAACAGCAACCCTGGAATGGTTCAAGTGCCATCTTGTAACTCTCCTGCTTCTTCTCTGCTTCTGGATTCTGTTCCTTCCTTCAAAGCTGACACAGGCTTGGCTGTTGAATGGTCGGCTGAAGAGCAGTACAAGTTGGAGGAGGGTCTTGAAAAGTAAGTCGCTTTTTTATTTCCCTTACTTGGGAAGGTTTCCGTGCTGTGTGGTTTTCTCAGTTCTAGACTAGTTATTCCGGCATCTGAGAAAGATGCAATGAAAAGGGCGCAACTTTTGGTAGCCACTGACTGGTCTTTCTACAAGTTCCTTAAATAATTCCCAAATGTTGTGCTGCTGCCAGAGTCCGGTCTAATATAGGTCGGTTTTTGGCCTTTGAGCTAGCAAATGCACGTGAATTTCTGTTAATTCCTGCCAGTGCCTCCCAATTTCCTAGACCTTCAGTTTTCTGTCAAGGAAAAGGAAGCCGTTACAGGCATCAAGTAATCTGGTGTTGTGGTCACATATGCAATTCATTATATATCCTGGGTTTACAATTACCTGATATGTTCACATTCATTGTTGTCATTTCTCTATTAGTATGTGTTTGTTCACTGTTATTTGTTTCATCACAGCTTCTTACTGTACTGATAGGTTTTCTGATGAACCAAGTATTATGAGATACATAAAGATTGCTGCCACCATACCCGAGAAAACAGTTCGAGACGTTGCATTGAGATGTAGATGGATGACGGTACGCTCTTCTTTTTGTTGTTCCTTTTACCATAGTGGTTGCAATTATGTACTGGTTTTAATATTGCTCTGAATTGTGGTGTCTGGTTAGGACTCTTCTTAAATGAACATTTCAAGATTTTGCTAGCCACTTGATTGTTGTTGAACCTGAGCAATTATTTAGGTTCTTATTATCTAGTTTTCTTCACATGCATTTTATGTTGTTCTATGAGCTGCTGCCATAGAAACATTGGTAAATTTATCGTAGATGGTAGCTCTAATAGAGAGGCTCGAGTAGTATTGTTTTGGCTTTGTGCTACTTTCTGCATCTAGTGGTGCATATGCACTAGGCAACGATCAGGTATATCCTTTCGCTGAAATACACCCATTCAAAGGTTGAAGGCTAGAGCTTTGGCCTAGTGTGATGGTGTAAACATGCTATGGATGGATACTTTGTTAGAGATCAGAGTACTATTCACAAGGGCTGTTTCTTAGGAGAGTCTGCACTTCTAAATTAACTGAAGCTGATGTATTAGTCATCGTTCAGTAATTTCTCTTTTGCTGAAAACACCTCTTCGCATATTGAAGGGTATGAGGTGCTGTAGAATCCGTGGTAGACTATATTCCTTGTTATTTTTATCATAGATATGCTTTTCCTCATCGAGAAAGTGACTGTTGAAACCTTGGCAGAGAAAGCGAAGAAAAGCTGAAGACTATACTACTGGCAAGAAGTTCAATAATAGGAGGGTACGTGGCATTTGATATTATGTGAAATATTTTCTTTGTTCGGTGTTAATGTGGATGCTGGACACTACATGCTTCTGAATTATGATGAACTGATTCAAAATGTGTTTCCTGGGTACTGTTAACATTGTAATGATGTGAATGGAAATAGTTATTTGAGTAGGTATTGGATCTCTAATTTGTGTGACCTTGTGTTCCTGAAGGGTAGTTCCTTAATGAGCTCTCTTTGTTGCTCCAAGTATGAAAAGCTGAATGTAAAACTGCTATTTATTCATACTCCTGTGTTTTGACCTTGTTCCCCAATGGAAGATTTTCTGGGATTCTTTCCAGTTTAAATCTTGATAATAGAGTTTGAACCTATATATGTAACACTTGTTTTTACGCTACTAACTAAGTAGCGTACATATGTGAACTGGCCACTGGCCTATTATCTGAATGTACAGCAGTCTCACTTCCACGCTTCATGAAACGAAAAAGGGGCACAGTTTATATCTGTTTATTATCATATTTATGCTTTTACTATACATCAAAGAACAACTATCCTAATTAGCACATTTATGCAGGAAAAACTAGTGGAGTCGTCATCAAAGATGATTGTGCCTTCGCCTCTGGCACAGAACTTGTCAGTCTACCCTCTGATGATGCAGAACATGAACCAGACTGCATCTTTGCCTTTTGAAGGTGTGAACTTCCTCAAAATTCTTCTGCCTACCACTTAGTGTTATGTCTGTATGTATAAGCTCTAGTTATTGTTATCTTAGGCTGCAGTCTATTTTTCTTGTTGCTCGCTTCTTTCACTTCGCTGTGCAATCAATTTCTACTAATGATTGTTTTCTGTGCTGCTGCTGTTCCTGTGACACTCATCAGATTTTACTTAAGTTTTTCTGGCTTGTGCTTGCAAAATATTACATGTGTAAATGAGGTGTTCCAAGTACTCATAGTAGTTGCTTGCTTCTGTATGCTAATGTTTTGCTGATGCATGAATGGAGTCAAACACACACTCTCTCTGTTTTTGTATGTAAATTAGACAACTACGAATATTCAGTCTCATTCATTCTCTAAATGATTGTACTTTATAACATCAGTAGAGGAAAAAATGCCTATTCATCTATCTGATGGTGTAAAAAATGTCAAGTATTGGTCTATTAGGTGGAGGTGATGGGATTGCGATTTTCTTTCTGATGCAAGGAAAGATTTACAGAGCTGTGCTGTGGTAGATTTTTAAAATCAATTCAATGGGACATAGGACTCTAAATTTGTTTCATGGTTTGTTCCATAAGTTTGCTCAATAATCGACCACCACAATTTGCTACTTGTAGAGAGAACTCATTATTCACCTGAACTAGATCTCCGACTTTTCTGGTTGGACGTTTGAGGGCATCTTCCACTGCTCAGAATTCTACTAAAATAATTGGATTTGTAAATAGTTTCTGCTGTACAAGGCATATTTCAGTGTTTGTTGTAAGACTATAGGAATATCCAAGGATTTCTGTGTATGTGTGTATAGATATTTATACATCACTTTTTTGTTCTGAGAATGACTCCAGGCCATCGGTAACATTGTCAGTGACCTGGAAGCAGCTAGATAGGTTGGGATAGCACGTAAGAGACCTTCCCATCCAGCTGACTTTTGACCAGATTATGTATGCTTAAATCAGCAACCGACAAGAATAAGATTGAAGTTGCCCGTAATGGCTGGCAACAGCAATCGTAGCTTTCATATTTGTTTTCTTGGTAGGCTAGTGTATGTTGTTAGTTGAACCCTTCATCTTGAAGGGTTGTCATTTCCTGGATGATCTGCGTATTTCATCTGGCTGTTTCGTTTTTCGTTGTGAATGATCTTAGTTTTAACATAACTTTTCAGTTTCAGGAATAAGCGGTACATCTAGGCATCTTTTGGAGCAGAATATTCAAGCTTTTAGCCAAATATCAGCTAATCTTTCTGCATTCAAGGTGATAAATCTCTTTCTTTACCGTGTCTCTACTCTTGTATAATCTCTTAGGGTCCTTCTCTTTTTTCTTTCTCCTTCTCTCCATTTCCCTTCTCTGTTAATGTGTTATTTATGTCTGCACATCCTGTTTTGCTGCATTTCCTGGTAAAAGGAAAGGGTACTGGTGATTCTCTTGATCTGCAAGATATTTTTTGGTACTTCACACCTGATTCCACTTAGCTATTTAGGGACTTCCTATTGGGTTCTGTTAGCCACGTTAAATTTCCATCATGTTCCTGTTATGCATGATTTGATTCGTAGGTAAGATGGTATCTACAAAAGAGGCCAGAAATAGCTTCTGAGAAGGGAAAAATACTGTCACTAGTTATGCTTTCTTTCCAAGTTAAGTTCAACCAAGACAGGCCCTTGGTGTGGTTTTCTCTGGCCTTTGGTACATTAACTGTTAGATTTGCATGGCTTCCAACTAGGTCAACTGGATAGAATTGTGAAGTTTTGTGATGTTGCTATATAACAAATAAAGGGCATCTTTCTCTCTCTGAGTTACATATAACCTTTTGGGGCTTGAAGCTGCGTTGTAGCAGTTGGCAGTGGTGTGGTGTGGAGGGCGTATTAATTTGTACCTTCCGTACTCTAACAGAGCTTAATGAAATGACAGCCATTAGTTCAATCTCAGCCTACAAGAACACCCGATGCGTCTTGTTTAGGGGCCAGTAGTTTTTTTTCGATGAGAAGTTTAGGGGTCGGTACTTGATGATGCATTAAAAATATAGTACTTTCCCTTAAAAGTATGATATTTATGTCATTAACAGAGGTTAATTGTCTTGCAATATAATGGTCCCTGCATTATTGTTGGTGCCCTTTTGCTGTTCACGAAGATTGTTACACTGCTTAGGAAAAAGAAAGTGTTATATCACAAGGGAATTATTTTTGAATATCTCGTTTATTAATTTACCAAACAGTTTCAGGAGAACATTGATCTCTTCTGTCACACGAGGAACAATATCACTGCAGTATTGAACGAGTATGTGGATTTGAAAACACTTTGCAAGCAGTTGTTAATACAGCCTGTTGCTCTTCTTTTTTACCCCACATTGATCTCTTCAGTCGTCTGCTGATGTTGCAGCATGAGAGAAATGCCTGGTATAATGAGCCAGATGCCACCGCTACCTGTATCGATAAACGACGATCTTGCAAATAGTTTATTGCCTACTACAGCTCAGGTAAAACTGTCAAATTTCTTGCTGTCATGACTGTACAACTAAATGTCGAGCAAAGACGTGATATTTTATATGAATATTGATGTTGTAATTGCCTTTTGTGGTATGCTGGTGTGGCGTGGCGTGTGCCAGTCAATGATGTTTGGGTTGCCTGGCGGGATGCAGTTGAAGCAAGAGCCAAGGTGTTAGCTGATGAGGGAGTTGATAAAGGTGGATTGACTAGGTTAATTATGTATGTGAGCAGGTCTGGTGGTGTATGTAAGTAGAAAAAATGATTTGGGCAACTTCATTTGGTGTTTGATTTTATTAACTACCCTTTTCTTTCTTTTGCCTCCCCCAACCATTGACTCTGGATCTTCTTGGCATTCAATGTCATGTATCATGTGTGTACTTACCTATTGATCATACTTTGATGATTTTATGGGAGTAAAGAAAGAAAAGAAGGAAAAGGGCGGAGTATCATTTTGCAGCAGATGCAGGGTAAGTGTAGAAGTGCGCTTGTAATAGTCGAGTTGGTCTGGACCACCGCCGCTCTGATTTTGCCTCCTGGGCTCTTGATTTGCTTCTTTAAAGTCCATATATTTGCTTCCTTATTCGTCCTAAGTGTGCCTGTTTGTGAAATTTATAAAGAACTATACAAAAGGACATCATGTCGGCAGGGGCGGAGCCAGGATTTGCAAGTAGGGGGGCCGATTTTTTTTTTTTTTTTTTTTTTTTTTTGCGTATTATCATCCGATGTTAAGAAAAGTTAATTCATTATATAGAAGGATAAAATTAGCTATTTGTCATAATCGTCGAAAAATACGTTTGAGATAATTAAAAAACCTAAAGATACATCGAAATAGTGTTGGCCATGGCTGTGCTGAAGAGCTGTAATGGGGCGGGGTGGGTTCCTCATACCCATGTCCCACCTGATGCTACTTCCGGTTGAAGGCGGGTAGACCCACTCTTACATGTTATTTGAGAAAAATACATTGAAAATTTTACTTTTTACAACAAAACGAAGAGGAAACCACTTTATGAATGAAAAATACTGATAATAGAATGGGTAATTGAGTCTAACTAGTTGAAAGGTCAAATCTAACTAGTTCAAGAAAAATCAAAATAGGAGAAATAAGAATAGATATTGTAAGAAATTGTGATAGAGCCCCACGAAAAAAAAAAGAAAAGAAATTGTGATAGAATGTGCCAAGAACGAGGCGTGATAGATCGAAATTAGATATCCATGGCTCGCCCCATGCAACTGTGGATCGGATAATATCCGTCCCTTTGCAGGTTACCCGACCGGTCTGGTTCAAATTGTCATCCCTATGTGTGGATGAACAAGGGAAGCCACCACACCCTGATCCCATAGCCTTAGGCAAGGTTTGCAGAGGTTTAGATGCAAGTTATGGACCTAGTTATCATAGAATATTAATATAAGTTATCGAGCCCAGTTTCCACTTAATCTCATGTTGAAGAAATTCACGACCATGAACCCCCCAACGTGTACGTGCCAACCCCGTGAAGGTAAAGAACCTAGGATAGCCTCGAAGAAAGAGGAATTTGTAAAGTACTTGGCCTTATAGATCCTATCCAATAAAGAATATGCTTCTTTCAGTATCCACTAGCTTTACTTGCCAAGAAGAGCTTGATTAAATTCCTCAAATTATCTAAATCTCATAGCCCTTCTTGTTTACTAAAACAAATAAGCTTCCAAACAACCTAATGAATGCGCATTTCCCCATGTTTTGCCAATTTGCCCCCACCAAAAAGTGCCAAGTGTATATCCAAAGATTGACCCAATGATATAGAGAGTAGAATGCATAATGCATTACATTACATGAATATGAAGCGCACTTGTAATTAGGGCTGGTTATTTGGTCCCAGACTGTTTGGTTTTACCCGAAACCGGACCGGGACCAGACTGAGATCGGATAGCAAACAATCCAATCTTATATTCGGGCTTAGATTTGAGGTAAAAAACCCGAATAAAGACCGGATAAGAGACCCCCCAACACCTAAAATCAAGATCAAATTGTGACCGAACTGAATCAAGACCAGACTATATCCAATCCAATCTTTGGTCCTTATATTCCCGAAAAGACCGGATTGAGACCGGATCAATTTGGTCCAATTTAACCGGACCGGACTGTATAGCCACCCCTACTTGCAATTGCCTTCAGTAGCGCCTTCTTAGCCGTCCATGAAAGGCATCGTTGTTGAAAAAAGTGAAACTTCATTTGGACCATAGCCACCAAATTTCAAATGAAATATGGGTACAATCTGAAATTGTACCATAACGTTAAAGGTACAATTTCAAGTTGTACTATAAAGACAAAAATCATAGCATTTATGCTATATAACATTGTAAAATTGCTCTTTAATTTTTTATTTATTTCTTGAATATCAATTTGAAAGTTAATTGTTGATGTTATTTTTTGATTCAAGTATGAATGTTTAGATATTTGTTTTATTGTGTGATTCAAGTATAAATTTTTGGATATTTTTGTTAAATGACGTATTTAAATCTGAATAATTTCATTTTGTTTGAAATGTTGTATTTTATTTAAATATGAATGTCTATATTTTAGAGATTGTCTACGAATATGTTATATATATATATACACATAAATTTATTTACATGTTTAAATAAAATCAGCATGAACTAGTCTAAATGGATTTTACTAGCGATCGGACCATACTACGTGCCAAACCGACATAACGCTACAAACCTGTTTGACAACTTTGCAAAAGAGGGAAAAAAATCCATCACTTTTTTCCCTTTCTTCGACTACACTATCAAAAAACAAAGCGCAACACTTTGGACATGAATGGGCGTTTGGTCTAGTGGTATGATTCTCGCTTTGGGTGCGAGAGGTCCCGAGTTCGATTCTCGGAACGCCCCTTTTCTTTTTTATTTTTTTTATTTCTCTTACCTCAAAACTCAAAGCCTTTGAGACAACACAAGTCCAGTACCCGCGTCTACAGGCGTCTGAAATTCGATCATCCACGGTGATCAAAGAGGAGGTAGACCTCAACCGAGCACAGCCGTTCCGTCGTCCTCTCCAAGTTCTAGCCGTACTCTTTGACTACCTATGGCGGAAAGCACACGCCGGTTGCCATCTTGGATGCTCGCTACCCCGCCGCCTGCTGCTAGCAGCGATGCCGCCGAACAACAACCCAAGACCAATACGAGCAAGGGAGGGCATCTCAAGGTTTCCCCGAGGAACGGCAACGCTAAAAAGAGAAAGAAAGCCAATCGAGACGAAACTGCAGTTTCTCAAACTACTCCATGCGGCGATGGTGTAGTTGAGCCCCCGGGGGACGATCGCCTCCTCACGGTTCAAGACCTAGTCGCCATCGCCGAGGAGGTGAGTTGCCCAATTCGAAATTCTTTGAACTGTTGTGGTTTCAGTATATATGATGATTTTAGGGATTAGAATTGATTTCCTAATGTTCCGATTGTTTCCGGGATTCGTGTAGTACGTCAGAGCAGCTAACGATGTTGGATCAGAGAAAAATCCGTCTATCAAGGGAGAATGTCGATCACGAGCAGTCTCTTCCGGGATTGATTTGCAAGGCGGTGTTACTGTTAATAAGCACAATTCACCCGCCGCTTCTTGTAGCTCAATGCAGAAATCGACCGCAGAACAAATCCCCGTAACTGTCAGCACAACAGGGGATCCTGCGCACGACATGCTGCATCTCTTTCTAGGCCCCTTGCTCACGAAACCGGTTACGAATGAAAAGAACGATGTATCAAGCAGAATGGATTTGGACTTTGCTTTTGATGCAATGAGGCATTCTCACAATCATGTTGAGGCAGCAGCGGTCCCTCCTCCATTGAAAGAAAAGAAGAAGAGCAGTCTTAGAGACAAGGTATCCCTGTTACTTAACTGAATAGGACAGGATTTCCTAATGTTGCAACGGTGTAGTGTTTATGTCCCGTGAAGCGGAGCATACCGACTTGACATTGTTTGAAGGCCACTGAATCGCCTGATGTAATTTTACATGTTTGTCACCATGACTATCTGGCAGTAACACCTGCATGAGTAGATTGTGGCCTTTTTTCGCTGCTGTACAGGATTTTGACAAGCCAGCTTTTGTTGACCTTCTAGTTCATTTTCTAGTGCATGTCGAATTTCTGCTGTCTTTTTGGATTTACTCTTGTGGTTTACAGTTTCCTTCCGATGTACACAAAGTGAGTTTTAAAATAAAAATGGATAGCCCATGGTTTAATTAGTCTTGTTACAATGTGTGCATTAGACTGTTACTTGTAAGCAATGGATAGCGTCTCCAGACGAACTACAGGATCATTTATTGCTTTGCAATCAATATCTGGGCTCTGTTGTGCCAGTCCTCAACCTAAGAGCATACCCTTTGCTATATCTGTCAATCTCAGCTCACAGTGATACGCTACTACAAACTGTATGAAGTGCATCTGTTATAGCGGTACTGTTTAGTATCTTGGATTTCCCGGAGCAAGCTTTCTGTTGCTTGTTTGACAGCTGATGCCTGTCCTAGAATCCCAAGGTTTTGGATAATATAATATATATTTTAGTAAGGAATTTGGAGCAGTTAAATCTTGCAATGCAATTCTTGTCTTGAAGCTGGAGCAGAAGTAATCATGTATTCTTGTACCTCTTGTGTTAGGTTACTATAGATCAGCATTCTATGAGCACATGGTAGAATGCTATCTTAATTTGGCTATCAAGATAATTTTCAATGCTCAAGATGATTTACAGTATGATTTGGCTTGTCGGGTTTGTAGCATTGGTTCTGTGATAGAATTATAAATAACTGGGATTCAATCATGACGAAAACCATCTCCTCAGCTTTACATTTGCCAACGCCTCTTATTTTACAGGTATCTGGATTGACAAAGGAAATATGGGCAGATTTCTGAGGTTTGTAGACAGAAGCATGATCCCTTAGCATTTCATTTTAATATGCTTGAGAATTTACAGAGAGTACAATGAATATTTTCTGCAAATTATAGAGCTCCCAGTGACTATTTTCTGCAAACTATCACCGCATTGTGCTTGATTGTACACAGTTCAAGTGCCTCTGGTCAGCCAATGTACCTCATATTTTCCCTTCTTCCTATTCATTCTATGGATGCTACTCATTGCTTGTTGTTTCAGATGGGTTTTCATTTTGAGGATTAAATTGTGTCAATTGATGCTTGGATTGTGAAGGCAATCATTTGCAGGTAAAGGGATCTTTAGTAATGATGCTGGTATGAAGTGCTAGTCAATGTAAAGACAAAAAGGACGAAGATTGTGCCTGCAGGAACAATCTGTTTCAGACAGACTTCTCAGATTAACATAATATGCGACACGTTTGCTCCAAAAGATGCCCGGCTTTCTTGCTATTTCCTTCTTCTTGGATATTGATTTCCAAAGTGCTTGGATTTTTCTTTGTAACATCCATTGATGTCACTTGACTTTGGCACCCAGCTCGTGTTTCGTTTCCTCATGCTTACTGCATAACGATAGGTATGCATCATCATAATCATCAGGGCTGTCGTGTCAAGAGCTCCTTGCTTGTTAATTTTTCTACTTTTAATTACGAGGAATTTTTCCTTAATCTTTTCGTCCATCGCAGGCAGATCATCTAACTATCGATGTGTGCTCTCATTATGCGATTTTCACATGTTATATGATGATCATCTCCACGTTCTCTGGGTGATGCTTGATCAGCTAATGATTGCTGTGGCTCTCTGTTTAGGCAGGTATTATCAGAAAGATCATCATTATCATGTTTTAAAATGCCTCTTTCATCAGTGTCTTGTTAATTAATATAGAATAATATTTTTCTCATGCAACTAAAATCAAAGGAGAAGCCTTCCTTTTCATAGAAGTAACCACAGCCGGCTGGTTTGCGGTGTTTACTATGTCAGTACGTGCGCTTTAGTTTAGATGTTGATTTGCGTTATATCTGTAGACGGTTTGACCGAGGTTCTTTTTCTCTTCCCTATCCCCTTGTTTCCCTGGGGAAACTCCAACTGTTTTACGAAGGTACCAAGGCTACTGAAGTTAACAACGCAACTCAGAAGATGAATCAGTTTGCACTCAGGAATAAGGGTGGATTCACGAAGTTTCTTTTTATCCTTTCTCAAGAATTCCAACCTCTGTGGGAACCCACTAAAACTACTCCGGAAGAAATCGGCTTGGGATCAGGAAGAAGTCAAACTTCCCTTATTTCAGAAGAATGTAAGAGTGGATTCTCTTCTCTGCTGTTCTTTTTTTTGTCTGTCATTCCTTGTCGGTTTTCTTATGCTGAATCATGCACGAAAATGTTTGCTTCGATCCTTTATTTTTAGTGCTGTGGTTTTTTTTTTATTATCTGCACCTGTGTCCTTTTTCTTACAGTTGATGACAAAGGCCCAATGGCAATCTTACAACAATCTGCTTTCACATGTCCATATCCACGTGTGGGTGGTTTTGATATCTGTTTTTTCTTGCTCGCGCATGTGGAAGGGAAGAAAAGGATGGTATCATTTATTCTAATCTTAATTGACATTATTCTCTACACGAATCAATTTGCTGCAACAAATACTGCATACATATTACCCAAGTTACATTCTATGGCTATGTTCTACTATATTATACACCTCACTTTTGGAGTTTGGCTAGTGTGTGTCAAAGGTTGATAAGGTATAGACATCTGCAGTGACCAATGACCGTTAAATTTGGGTGGATGTTTGTTCTTGTGTAACTTAGGCTAGCCCCTGAACTGTTTGCTTTCGAGTTCTTCTTTACATATATTTTCCATGTAGAAGCTGCCTGCTTGCACATGGTGTCTGTGATTTTCTGTGCTATAACCGAAAGCTTGGTAGGCCTATCTTATAGCCATATTTCTTGACTTGTTCTTGAATCTGGCTCCTGTACTCTCCGAAAGTGAATTTCCTGTACTTGGATGGTTCTCTGCAACTCCCGATTGATGTCTCGTACGAAGGACACAAAAAGTAGGCAATAGAGTACCTTTCCATCTTAGCGTTGGCCATAACCTTGTGCTCCACACTCTTATAAATGTCGTTGCTCCATGCCTGCGGTTATCATTGTCATAACGAAGATATTAGGAAACTAATTTAAAGAAAGAAACAGGGAGGCGAAGTTGGGAAAAACAGAGAGAATGCCAACAAAACTAAAACGTCAGAATAATGACCAAATTATTATTGTAAGAATAAGCATATGATTTCCTCTCATATTACTGTTATTTACTATTATGGTCCGCTTTGTTTACAGGATTTGCTTATCAAGAATGAATGTGAAATGGTGGCACCTGAGGATTAATCCCCATTGCACAGGTATTTGAGGCAAGTTTGATTATAATAAAGAAACGCTGGCAGCAGGTGTATGTTTTTACCTGGAAAAGATCTCCAATATTGACTATGAGTGCATCTTGATTAGGTTTTACAGCCACCCATCTGGAATCCTTCATGAGCTGAAGCCCCCCAACTTCATCTTGAGACAGAATGGTGAGAAAATCACTATCAGTGTGAGGCACCAAGCCAAAGACCTCTGGGGAAGTTGGACAGGCTGGGTATCGGTTGAGGCGCAGAAAGCAACTGCTTTCTTGACAAATGTCTTCGAAATCCCCCCTTGAATGGCCTAAGTTTTCAACCAAGACCCCTGCAAGTGTTCCAGCTAGCTCGGCCATTGCTGCTGCGAATTCCACCATCACTTCCCTGATGAAGAAAACAGGAAGAAGAAAAAAAAGAGAACATCAGAGTTTGTTGTGTTGGAAAAGTGCGAAATCCTCTGTTTCCCCCCTTTATTTCTTTCTCTCTTTTCTTTTTTGCTTCTTTCATTTCTTAGTTAAGCTGAAGTTCAGGGTTTTGCAGGATGAAGAAGTAAGTGGGCGAGAAGAAATCACAAGACTTTTCTATCTATAGCTTTGCAACAAGCACCTTAAAGAAGTGAAGTTGTCTCCGTAGCAGTCCTTGTGGGAGACCTTGGAGAGAGGAACATGGAAAGCCTCGGACCATGACAACTGCTTGGGACAGGTAGCTGTGGGCGTACCCCATCTGTAGGAATTGTTGAGCAGCCCGCCACTGACCTTGTCGTCGAAGGGCAGTCGGAACAGCCTGGACTGCTCGCTCCTCATCTTCCTAACGAGCCCCGGGTTGATCCCGTGGTTGACGACCTGGAAGAAACCCCACTCCGACGAGGCCCTGCATATTGCAGCCGCACAAGCTGCTCTCTCCCTCTCGTCGCGGCTGCCGAGACCCCTGAGGTCTATCAGGGGCAGCTGGCATTCTTCCATTGCTGAGGCCGCGGGGAGAGGATGGTGGTCGGAAGGCGAGAGGCGGGAAACCTGCTCGTAATGGCGAAACAGAGGAGGGTTGGTGGTCTTGAGCATGGTTTGACGAACGAAAGAGGGGTTGAGTTAGGGAGAGGGGAGAAAGCTGGTGGTGTTGGTGAAGGAGAAGAGGGTTAATAAAGGAGAAGAGAAGTTGGGCGGGAGGGAGAGTTAAGTTATGTAAGAGAGAGCATAAACAAGGAGAAAAGAACAAGAGGAAGAGAAGGAAGGAAGGCCTTCAAAATCACGACAGTTGGCAATTGGAGCGCATTTCACTCTGGAAAGGTCTATGCTTGGCTTGCTGCTGCTGCCTCCGACTTGGTCTATGACGTACACAGGTACCTTTTCGATTGCATTTTCCTCCTTCAGTAATAAATAAATAAATAATAATAATATACAAATTCTGCTTTATTTCCAAGATTTTCTCTCCTTAAAACAACAAAAGGTGGAAAAAAAGGAACGAGTAGGGGCGAAGAGCCCGAGAGCGAGAGAGAGGCAGAGGCAGAGTTTTCTGAATGGCTGGAACAAACTATATAAAAATTGCATGGAAAGGAATCGAACCCGCTTTTCTTCTTCATTTTTAAATTGACTTTTTTTTTTTGGCAAAAGAGGAAAGGTGGTTCCCATTGGTGGGTATATTGAGGCGGGGGATTTGGCATTTTCCCATTCTAATCATCATTATTTTGTGGGGTTCTACTTCAAACCCCCCAATTGAAGCAAATTGAAGATGAATTCATAGCGTATTACGAGAAATTCGACGAGTACCTAAAAATGAAAACAATAACATTTAGTATTTAAGCTTAATCATATCGCTGTTGTTCATTTAATAACATTATTATTATTATAGTTATGATAATTTAATAATTTTTTCAATAATATTATGAAAAAATTATTTACGGCTATATCTATAAAGACATGGTTACCAACGCATTTTTGTTGTGAGTATTCATTGTGTTAGATTGTATTTAATCTTTTAAAATCCAGTCAATATTTTATCAAGTTCTTTTGTAAATTCACTCCGTGAATTGAATTTTAACTTTAGAGAAATCCGATTTCTTGAGGGGCAATCCACCCATTGCCGACCATAAGGAAAACTCCTCCCACCTTTTCATTTGTATATATATAAGAAAGTAAAAAGGTTTCCTGGAAGTAATGAATAAAATTAGAACGGAAGGAAAAGCTGCTTTCTCCTTTCATTGTCCAAATCAAATTTGGTTCCCCTTCCCAGTTCCCAATGTTCTTTCTTTTCTTTCTTCGTATATTCTTGAGAGCTGCCATTTCGGGTACAGTTTTCTGGTCTTGTATTGTGACCGAAACCAGAAAGTTTTCGTAACTTGGTTACTATTACTAATGAGCTTAAATGTTTTTTCTTCTATAATTAACAGAATTGATCTTACTTGTGCGTAGTTGTACTTGGTGGAAGCTTGCAAGAGAGAAATATATAATTTATTTATTTTGTAGGATTTCGCTGCATTGCTTTTATGACACTCTGGATTCGATTCATGATTTTCACTCTGAAAAAGAATTGAAGCTCTGTTATGGATTCTGCCAATGCGTGTTATGCGTAGGTATAATAAATTTGTCCATATTGTGGCAAAAAACATAAAAACCTTCTTATCGTTGGATTGTCCAACATTTATTTCTCATTTTTCTTTGTTATTTGACTTGCAAAGACCTTATACACATATATTTTGTATCTTGTTATCTCCTCCACGCGAAATACCTTTGGGAAAAAAATTGACTTTGACTGGATAAGTCTAATTCACATAATGAACCGACATGCCCTCTATGTTGTTAGTTCGAAAAGAAAGACTTGTCTCCCAAGCTATATGTTCTTGGTTGGATTCCTCCCCACCCCCCAATACCTGCATGCTAATCAACAGTGTGTAAAATATAGAATATTAATTGGGAGGGCTGGAAAGTTGATCAAGGGCTTTTATATAGGTAGGTAGAAAGTCAACAAATTAATTGTTTTCCACCTTATTTATTCGTTCTTCTTTTTCGAACCATTCTGATTTATAGACTTCAGTGTGTTGCGTGCCTTTATCAGAGATTGTCCCCTCAATCAATTGTTTGGACAATGTTTGTTTTAAAGAAAAACAATTCTGGGACAATGTCCAAGGAAAGCAGCTGATGTGTTCCCTTGGAAACTCCCCAGAAATTCAGAAACAACATATTGGGGTGTGGTTACTTCTATTTTGGCTATGCTTCTAGGAGGTTGTTTGCTTATAGTATTGTAGGAAACGAGGGATTATGGTTAAAACTTGAATTTTAGATATGAGGGGATTATGTAGGATTTTGATTAATTTGGATTTGTGCTGGATTAACAAAATTTCACGTTTGTTTATATGATTTAATAACGGATTTTGGAAAATGAGATTTATTCATCGAGGTGAAGCATTTTATTTTATTTTGTTTTTTATTTGTGTTGTATATGCATCTATGTTCTCTAGCACATGCACAAACAAAGCAAGTAACAAGATCCATTAAAACAGGCTCGTTTGCTTGTTGGATTTTAAAATGAAGGATTTTGATTTTGAAAATCTTTGGATTTATGATGGATTTGTTGCATTTTGTATTTGAAAGATAACATTGTTTGTTTAGTTGAATTTTCATCATGGATTCATTTGGTATTTGGGTCTAAAAAATTTGCCTTCCATAATGTGGTATTTGCAAATACGTGGGGTCCACGGATTTGGAGCTAAAAAAATGGTCCAAATTCGTAGACCCCACAGATTTGCATACCTTAACAAACAATGGCTTTGGGCAAAAAACATTATGGTTGGTATTTGGAGATCAAATACAACATCCAAATCCCATGGATTATGAAGATTATCCAACATGTTTGGGATTTTGAAAGAAAATTCATCATCAAATCCTAGAAGCAAATGACCTCTAAGTTAGAACGTGTTAGTAAGGGTGGTTTTCAAGCTTTGAAATGGTGTATTAAAAATTATAGGCAAAATATATTTGTATAGCAAGAATTTTTCATCATTACAACCAATTTTCCTGATAATGACAAATATAACTATATTTAATCGTTCGTTCAATACTTGTAAGAATTTTTCTTAGAAAACTTAACAACGTTAAAGAATAAGGTGCGTGAACATACATGTAAGCACATATGTACTGCATGTCAATCGCAAATAATCCATATTTTTATTATTTTAGTTACGTCAACGCCTTCAACCAAGGTAACTTGAAAATTTTGAACTGCTATAGCAGGTTTCACAGGTTGTATTACGCAATACGAATTAGTCATCACATAATATTTACGTAGCGTATGTTTGCCTTACGTAATAGTTGTAAAATCGTGTTGCATAAAAGATGACATTTTTACGTAATGAATATTGTGTGACATTTGTGATGGTTATTCAAACGATTGCATGGTTGTATTAACTAATCCCTATGAAGCCAAGTATAACTCATGACGATGTTGTTAATATATTGGTCGACCAAGGTCGTATTCCACGAGTCTCGATCGCATAGGTTACTTCTCATTTTATTGTTATCTAGTCGTTTGGTTTAGATTTGTTTTTGGAGGAACAAATGGTAAATACTAGCTTAAGAAAGCAGAGATAAAAACAGGTACTCAGGGCATCACCCTCTCCCTAGAATTAGAATATAGGTATATCATGCAAAAGGTTAATAATGTTGGTTTGTGCAAACAAGGTGCGGGACTCACTATATAGAGACTAGCTCAATGTTTATGCAACTAGCCCCCTCCTAGCATGTTCCACTGACCGAATGTCACCTCGATCATGTGTCTTTTTCTATCACTATGGAATAAACTCCATCTCACTTGGGTGTGTGGATTTCTAGCCATGTACGTTAGAGTATGATATTGAATGACTCCTATACTTGTTACACTATTGATTATATATTGAATTGAGATATTATCATGAAATTGATTAGGTATGGATCACACTCTTCAATTTTAGCTATTGACCTAAGGTAGAGAATATCCAATTAGGTTGATTACATCATCTTCAATTCCTCATTGTGGGTCAGTTGAACAAGTTTGATATTGGTCTATAATGTCGTATTTGATCAAGGTCCTTCAGTGAGAGTCGAATTACACGCCTTAGGTGTTATACTTGCCAGCTGTAGAAACTCTCTCTTTGGGTAGTTCATTTCAGTGGGCTTGGATAACTCGAATAAGGTGTTCAAGTTAGTATAGAGCTCTTCGCGGTATAAATCTAGAGTGGGCAAGCTAGGGGAAGTCAACATAAACCTAATTTAAGGCTAGAGATAAGCACACCCGAGTGATTTTCGTACAATTGAATTCAAATCAATCTTTCTTTGCTTTGCATGTTTGGTGGCTTAATCCAAACCACATCTTGTTAGCTAGATAACGATTAGTGCACCAATTCGTAGTAAACTTAAAGCCCCTATTGATAAATTAAACTTACTTACACCATACTACACCTGACTGGAGGTGATACTTGGCCTTCGATTGAAAGAGTAGTTAGTAGTGAGTCAAGTTCTTGGCAAAGTGAACTATTGTTAATTTAGTATTTACATTTTGTTTCATTTTGGTTTTGCTTTTCACGGGTGTGTTGTTTGAGGTGTACTACTGAATCGACTCTAACTACACATCCCAATCGACGACCAAGCATAACGACGACCAAGTGTAGCATAGGGGTAAGCAAGAAAAAAATATTGTACCACTGGTCTCTAGATGTACCATACTTCACATTAAGTTTTCGTTATATAGCCAACCTAGAATGGTGATTCAGAAACTAAGCTAACTAAGCTAACTAACCACTATCCTAGCTGATTACAAGTTTTGGAGCTCTCTCAGCTTGAATCTCCCTAGTTCTGTCATTTGGACCGATGTTGAGTGCTATCCTAGCTTGATTGACTTTATCCATCTACTATTTAGGAGCTATACTCCCTCGGGTATTGACTCCGAATGGCGTAGTGGTGAATGGTAGTGCTCTATTCAACCTAGGGATTCATACAACGTCAAGAAATTGACTCTATCGACTCCCTCGGGGATTACCCAGAACGACATATGATTGGAGTGACCCGAAGACACCAATAATGGGCTCTACGGGGATTATCTTCCTCCTGGGCCAAAAGCTCAATTGACATGAAATGAAATCCAAACTCATGCAATCCATGAAAACCATCCATCAACTAAACAAAATGATCAATCAAACATATGATATGTTACATAGCATCAACATCATACCAAGATCTATACCTAGGGTAACGTAAGAGGAGATCTAATTCATAGAGAGAAGAGAGAGATTACAAAATACTGAAAATAGCTTAAGATCTTCATCTGCTTCTTCTTTTAGACTTGAATCCTTGACTCCAATATCAACCCAAGCCTCCAATTTAACTCCAAGATCACTCAATACTACTCTCTCTAGAAATGCCCCTTTGGGCATTTTGGGTATGAACCCTAAAGAAGAACCCCAAAATTCCATACCCAGCCAAGCTATCCCTTTCTCTCTCCCAGATGCTACATTTTATACAACCTGAGTGCAGTTGTCAAGGTCTGGGATCACGGTCGTGATCTCAACAGCCCTCCCATGATCTCGACTGAAGACACTGTCATTTTGGCTCCTACTTAATAGTTTCCTTGCAAAGATCACAGTCTGTGACTGTGATAATGAATCTGCCTACGAGCCATCCGAAGTTTCTTGGAAGCATACACAGATCACGCCCTGGGTGCTATGTTCACGGGTTGTGACCATGATATTTACTCCCAGACCGTGATCTCTACACTTTCTTCATACTTTGTCTCTTTCGACCTCCAATCTTCCCGAAATCATCATTGACCTTTCCATACGTTCTAGGACCTGAAATATGTCAAAAGGAACACAGCCTAGCGTAAAATAGTTCGAGAGACGATGATTACCAAGTCAAACAATCGAGACACGAGGGATAAAATATGTGTAATTATGCCCGAATCAAACTCCCTCACACTTGAACGTTTGCTTGTCGACAAGCAAACCAAGTACAACACAAGGTAAGCTACCAACTTCTTTATTAAAAACTTTAAGGGCATTTTATAGTGGCACAAAACATGTGAATCACAATGGCTACTTGACACTAACATATGGACAACAACAACAACAACAATAATCCTGATAACCACCACAAATGACATTCGAATGCAATAGAACCTTGTAAAGGTAGAGTTCTCACCTTGTTCACAACCCAATACATAACCTGTCTAAACGACTTACCAAATACAGTCATTCATGCATAAAGATAAGTCATCATAACAAACGACCGAGCAATCTAGGTCCTCACCGGGGTACATGATAATATGAAGAAAGAATCGCTCATTCTCGACCATATGTGCATACTCATACGCTCAGCCCTATCGTCTCTTCACATGACAGTAGCCTCTAAATGCTAGAGTTCGTAAGATGGGTCTCGCTACTAGCTTGTCTGGAGGTCTTAGACTCGGGTTCAAATGAATGGCTTAGGTCTAGGACATGGAAAAAGGCTTTTTGGGTTGTGGCACATGTAGCATGAGGTTCCAAAGTTTATCTAGAACCTATTCACAATGACCAAAGACCACTAACAACAACTACAAACCACCACCTGGTTCCACAAATCCAAATCAAAACCAATCACGAACAGTATCCACACATACTTTCTTTTGCTACAACTACTATCGAAACTTTTAAGTACAAGAGTCAATGAGGTAATCAATCATGTAGGTATCTCCAAGCATGATTGCTAAGAAACAATCCTTTAGAGCATAAACAACTTTGGTGGCAGCTCTCTTTTCTTCTCTTCCCACATTACTTTTTTTTATTTTATTTCTTGAGGGGAAGAAGAGAGTTAAGAACACATGCCACATCTTGAACTTTATGAACAATTCTCACTTTTAAAAACTTCCTCCAACAATCACTTTTCTCTTTTAAGAGGAACCATGGAAGAATCACTTATGTGGAACCTCAATGAAGCTCAAATTATGAGACTTCCAAACACAAAGCTGACTCAACAATGGTGCAGACACGAAGAAAGTAAGGATCACTCTATTGTTTTGTACTGGATTCAAAATCTAGTAGAGGGAGCCTGTTTGCAATGCCTTGGTGGTATATTTCGATGGAGGATAGTATTCCGCCGGGTATTCTATCCAAGAGGTATGGAGCACTTTAGTCGATACTCCAAATTACCTAAGGACTTTCCTTAGTATAAACTTCAACTAAATTGGATTGGGTGAATTACAATTTGGCCTAAAGATGCACTGATAGAAGGGAAAATTTATCAAATACGGGAGTGATAAACACTATAATTTGAGTGTTATCAACTATCATCCTTCTTCTTGTCCTCGTGACATCCCATTAATCGGTTAAATGATCTCTTCTTTCCTGCATTTTAGAAAGTAGCCAAATGAGAAAGTGGGCCTTGCACCACACTTCAAATAAAGCTTCTTCAAGCTAATTATGTAAACATTCTAAGATAAACATTAATTAGATTATACTATGTCATACTCATCTAATCTCATCAAGCATTGAATCACATAAGAATATGAAATATTGAAAGCTTATAAAAGTAGCTTAGATGAACCATTTATCCTAATCAAGCATGCATTGGTGGATCAACATTCACATGATCATCAATGGTAAATACCTTCTATTGAATAGTTGTCACAAGTAGAATCACATTAAATTCAACTATCAACTCATTAAGCATCAATACTTTAAAGACATATGTGAATATCATATTTTAGAAAAATTTTACATGAACTTTGCTAAAATTCAACAATCCAACATAATAAGCATCCACAATATCACATGATAAGCACACTAGCTATCATCAATGAATCATAAACCATTCAATTGTGCTCAATCAGGGTCGAAAATTGCTTTGTAAGGAACAAGTACCCTAGCATGCAATTCTAAACATTAAATTCTCAATTGAAGCTCTAAAATCACGATTAAAGCTCATAATTCATCTAAAGATCACGAGTACTTACTTGTATTGGAGAACTATATGTGAAAATCACAAAACTTGAAGAAAGGAAGAGAGAGAAAGTGGTGGTGGTGGGGACTCCACTGGTGGTGAGAATGGTGTCTTGAAGAATTTATTTTTGGCCTTTGCTAATTTGATGATGAGTTGGTTATAATTTAAATTTGATAGTCAAATTTTGAGTTTTAGAGGTGGATTAGATGATTTGAACTTAAAAGATTGTGAATTTGGGAAAAAATGTGAAAATAAAAGAGGAAGGGGTTGATTTTGAACAGAGAGAAGGTAAGTGATGAAAATGAAGTGGGAAATGGATGAAAATTGGGGTTTTGTAGTGCCTTTATGAGTGACGAACGGTCTCGTCATGTTGCCGTTTCGTGGTTGGTTAACCTAGGTTTTTGTCAGTTTCCTACATTTTTACATCAATTCACTTAGCTGGATGGTACAAAAATGAATTTCTTACATCCAATCTCCATCAAATCCTTCAATTTCAAATTTTTTTGAAATTCTCCATTGATATGTATCACCTATCCAAATGATAAAAACTCGTTCTAAGCATCCTTCAATGATAAACTCACAATTCAACAAAAATGAAAATCAAAAGTAAAAGAATAAATAAAAATCTAGGTCCTCCGTAACACATTTGTTTAATATTATTAAGTTTGGTGTCATACATGGGGCTTCCTCCCATGGGGTGCTATTTCTTATATTACTTTGAGATAGGCATAGTCGTGCTCCTTTTGTTTGGATTGCCATTCAAGCTTCAACGTGCATCCATTGCCCCTATTCAACTGTAGTATCCCTTGTTGGTTCAACAGGATGTGGTTATTTGTTAACACATAGTTTATTTGATAAGTTACTGAAAATGGTTTGTTATTTTCTTTCATATAATGTTCTCTTTTTGATTCATATTTTATAATAATAGAAGAGTCATGTCGTCATCTGCCAGAATCAATCCTTCTGATAGGTTAATATCAAATTTAATTATTCCTACTCCTAAATCTGGGATTTTTCCAATAATAGCACCTTTTAAAAAATTTTACAAAACTAGCACCCAGCCGAAAATATTTACAAAAATAGCACCTTTTAAATCAAACCGCACCTCCAAGGTGCATTTTATAATTAAACCGCACCAGGACGGTGCGTTTTAATTATAAACGACACCTTAGGGGTGCGGTCCAATCCACGTCAGCAAACGAACCGCATCATCCGAGTGCGGTTTGTGTTTTCTGGGCAGCGGGCTTGGAGACCGTTGGATGAAGGCGCGATCGGAGGGCGGACCGCACGCCAACTCAACGATCCACGCCATGGATCAGGGACCGCAGCTGCAAGGTGCGGTCAGCGCCTCGGGAATTTAAAACCGCATCGTAAGGGAGCGGTTTCGGCGAGGTGAAAATTACCAGACCGCCCCTGAAGGGTGCGGTTGAAAAGTATAAATATCCCCCTTCCCCTCTCATTTCTTCACACCACCACCCATTCTTCCTTCTCTCTCTAGAATTATCTCTCTAAACCCTCCCCTCCCAAAAGCCTATGAAATAATGGTCTGTTGGTTGCGGCTAAGTCCGATCTGCCATCAAAAAACATTTTTTTGGTTTTTTCCTCAAAACCCGCCGAGCCGAGCCGAATCTCTGTCCGAATTTCGTGAAAAAATGAGCGAGTGGTGGCAAGGAGAGGGAGTTTATGTTGATGAATTTCAAGCGGTACGTTCTCATTATTCTGGTTTAATTTGTGTTGTTATAAGCTTTTTAATTAATCTATGTAGTAACCTCGTTGTTATTTTCTCATAGGTTGGGGACGACTTGGATATATACAACCAACGGTATTATCTCGAGCAAGGACCGTTGGATCCAACCGACTTGTACGACCAACCCAACCATCGGTCAAGGGATGTTTGGAACGATCACCCGGTACATACAATTCTTCATCATTTGTCTTTCTTTTATTTTGCTAATGTATTTAGTGGAATATAAAATAAATTTATGTTGAATTTTTAATCGTGTTGGTTGTTTTCAATAATTTAATCGAATACATAGCGCCACTTATTTCGACTCTTTATAAAGAGATGCACGTCTAAGGAAATGAGTTTTAAGCGATTATCATATCCTCCCATTCCTAGGAAAATCGGGTATTAAGAGATCCTCGGATCCCCCCTTTTTCTGTCAAAAAGACTGCGTTTCTAAGAAGATGTATACCTCTTCTAAGAGTCTAACGAGTGTTGCTCTGTATTCGATAAATTATTTAAAACAACCAATACGATTAAATTATTTACAAAAAACCAATACGATCTATTTTTATGTGTATAAAATGAATTTTATTAATTTCAAATATTTGAATATGTATGTTTCTCTTTACATTGTTATTCATTTACAATGTTATTTATGTTAATTAATTTAGTATGTTTGTTTTACGATAATATTTATGTATCTCTTTAAATTATTATTGATTTAGAATGTTATTATGTTAATTATATGAAATGTATTTTTATGATAATAAAATTCTGCTCGAAGTTAAATAATTTAATTTAATTAATTTAGTTATAAGAAAAAACCCTTACTAATACTCCGCTACAGCCTACAGGGGTACGACCAATGTGCTCCCATTCCACCCAGCTATCTTGCTTTTTCTCAAAAGGGCACGGTTGGACCCGATTAGGTATTTTAACGGCATCAAAGTCGATCGCCAACTCGTTACCGCATTAGCTGAGAGATGGGGAAAGGATACCCATTGTTTCAACTTTAGAGAAGGAGAGGTCACCATCACGCTAAAGGATGTCGCCATCCTAACCCATCTGCCCATCGACGACAAACCGGTGTGCGCGAGTGATCATCCCCCCGAGGATCATGACGGTATGCCCGGTTGGGTTCATTTCATCCACAGTGTTTTGGGGGTGAAAGTACCAGTCAAGGGGAGCGTTGATGCGACCGATCGCTTGCCACCAATGAGGAAACACCAAGTCTCAATTACTTGGTTGACGAAATATTTTAGAGACCGTTACGAGACTCATCCCCTAACCGAGGAAAGTCCGGAGGATGAGAAGGAAAGATATGCTCGTGTCTATCTCATAGGCATGATCGGAGGAGTGTTCTTCTCCAAAAAATCAAGCAATCTCCTTAGCTGTGGATGGCTTAGGATCATCCTCGGTAGTTGGGAGGAGATGGGGGAGTTTAGCTGGGCATCCGCTTGCCTAGCTTATATCTACCACAATTTGTGCAATGCGTCTCTAAAATCTGTGAGGGAGGTCGGCGGCACAATGTTTATCGTCCAATTTTGGGCTTGGGAGCATATGCCATGGATTGCACCGGTCCAACGTCCCGACAGGGATCGGCCAATCGATCATCCCCTAAGAGGTGAAGCTTATGGTACAAGGTAAACTTCTCATACCCCATCATGTTTTTCATAACACATTTTCCCTTGTGTTTTAGCTTATTGTAGTTTCATTATTGTCTAATTAATAAGGTGGCTCGGACACACAACATGCGACAACCTTGCCCAACACAAGTTGGTCGAGTATCGGAGGAGGTTTTAGCGACTTTGGGAAGGAGAGGTAACTTCTATACTTCTATACTTCGATCCATTTATATCTTTTTTTCATGGAAGACGATCTACAAGAAAGAAATGAGTAACTTAAGTTTATCAGAATGCCTTATTTCATCGCAAACTCATGCTCTTATATAGAGTTGAGAGGAAATACAAAGACGTCATTGCTTACGTTTGTGAGACAGGGACGTAAAGCTAACACGTCAAAAGAAGCGCGTGAAACAATAAGAAAAGAAGATAAAATACAACAATGCACAATTTTTTTAAAGGAGTCGGCCAACCTTTTATTGTCGTTTTGTACCATGTTTGTTTGAGTACTTTCTCTTTCTTCACATGCCTTTCTTAGTCTTGGTCTGCTGGTCCATTGTTGTCTTTGTCAGTTGATGCACATCACTCGTAGAAGTGGTCCTCAACTCCTCATAAATTAATAAGTGCGTTGCATAGCTGTTTCTTGATTTGGATGGGAAGAGCTGACAGATTTCCATTAATTTCAGTGAATCCTTAATTTTACCTGTTATGATTGTCCATTCTTCTTTGGTCATGTTTTCTCTAGTTTTGTTGGTGATGATGGCATCGGGGCTGCTGTAATTGACTTTGATCTGACTTTCTAGTTCAATCTTGGTCAATGTCCTGCATACTGCTAGAAGACCCTTTACTTGGTAGTCTGGGTTCTTCTCATAATCTCGTAGGTCATCTTTGGTAGGATAATCATGATTTGATATTTCCATAAGGATAACTGCATTTGCTCTCGTTCATGATAAGTTTCTGCGATTGTTGTTCTTGATTCTTGACTGGTTCTTTCGTTGCCATCATTTTGTATGATTGTCTAAATGCTTTTTTGGTTGCTTATTTGGTTTTAAATGATTGATGTTGGATTGGTTTGCCATTGATGTGCTGGCTAGTGATGGCCCAATTGTGATATACTCCTCGATATGGTCCATTGAATATGACATACCACTTGCCGCCTTTTCTGTCGTTTTCTTCATAGTGGGAATCTTTTTCTTCTTTTCTTTTTCAAAAATGTCTGCCCATCGTGTGGTCTTTTTTGTATTATTGCTAGTAGTAGTAGATGACTGTTTTGATGCTGACTTTTCTTTTTCAGCAGGTTCAGTGGTGGGTGTCGTTGTCCATTAACTAATTGACAGAGTACTAACGTCGATGTAGTTGATTTTTAATTGTTGCTGAATAATATTATTGATTGAATTATTGCTTCTTCCTCCCCCTGCAAAGGATAAGTTGTTGTTCCAGTGCTGCACTCTTTTCCTGCTTATGTTTTAGCTGATTGATGAGGGTCTTTATAAATCCTTCCATTCTTGAGTTAGTGTGTCGGTGAATGGATTGTTGCTCAACTTGATATACTTCAGATAAGGATTGTAATAATGGAGTTGTTGTTGCCACCTGATTAATCTCCCTTTGTTGAAATCCGCTTGTAGCTTTTACCTCCAAAAACCTGTTACATATTTGGAATTGGTTTGAAGTTCAAACCTTGTCGATAATAATTCAAGCTTCCATTTTTCAATGCTCGGAGACAAGCTAGTGTCTCTAATTCATGGATTGGATAGTTCTGTTCGGTGGTGGTAAATATTCTAGAATCATTTTTACATAATTTCTTAGGATATTTATCACTATTGAAAGAAACTGGTAATTGAGAATCCGAAGATTCAATAATATTGTCCGTAGACTTATAATATTTAAGCTTTGTGCCAGAGACAATAGCCTCATCATTGTCCATTCTAATAGTACCAAAATTGTCCATCCGTAATATTTCCTTGTCATTTTGTATGGCTAACATGCATCAAGAAATTTTGTCAAAAATCTTTTTTTGTAAGTGTTTTCTTTCTTTTGCTAAGTCTTTTAAAAATCCTTTTTCACTAATCTAACTTAAACATCCAAGGAATCGTTGAATTTGCTTTCTATTTCCAAGTTGGTTTGGAAATTTATCGATTTTTTTTGTTTGGTGACAACTCAATTTCACCGAGATTATTAATCTTCATATCAAGATATTCAATTTCCTTTGGAAGAAGCTTTGACTTTTTCTTTGAAATAATTAGACCTTTTTTCTTTTATTCTTTGTAAAATCATCAAAATTTTCTCACGATAATCTTCTTCTGATTGGTTAGTAATAATGATGATATAATCAATATATGCCAAAAAAATGGATTGAAAACCATCAATAATATGATCCATAAATCGTTGGTAAATAGCTGATGATTGTTTCAATCCGAATGGAAGAACATTCCATTCATAGTGCTTTTGTGGTGGACATGAAAAAGCTGTTAATGGTTTGGTATTATCATATAATCGCAGCTGTCAATATCCTGATTTAATCTTTCTAAGATGTAGTTTTTTTAGGTAATTTATAACTATCTGCTATTGTTTGATCATTTAATTTTTTATAGTTTATTACCATTCTTCTCTTTCCTTTTTTAATTTCATTATTATTTGGGTTCATTACTAAGATCTTCTTCTGGTAAAACTACTTCCTTTGAATCTGAAGTGGATTTTCCTATTGCTATTTCTCCTTGTTTTATGTCTATTATAATATTAGTAATTGTATCCTTAGCCCATTCTAAATCTGAATATATTTCTTTCTATTTTTTTATTATATTGATATTTTAATAGTTATATTAGTTGTTTATTATTGTCTTCTAGCATATTTATTATATATTTTTTATATTCATTCATTATTTTCCCTAATTTTTCTAGTTTTATTGAAATATTTTCAGTAGCCTTTTTATTAGTTTTGTACCTATAAGTTGGTTTTCTAATTTTGGAATGATATTTATTGAATTTATATTATTTTGGGTGTTTTAGAAGTTCTGGGTACTAAAAGGTAACTAAAAGTAAGAAAATTTGAAGTGGAAGGAAAGATGGACATAGACACTGCTCATTGACTTGGGTGGTACCAGGTTCGGTGGTACCCTGCCACCTATTCGAGAAGTTCAAGTTCAATGGTATTTGGAAAATTTTACCTTTCATCCGCCATCTTTAGGGATGGCAATGGGTCGGGTTGGGTCAAACCCAAATCCAAATTCATGGGTTTGTCGGTAAAAAAAATTCGGGGTAAAACCCGTTGGGTTTGAAAACTGCAAACCCAACCCAACCCACTGGGTATCCGCGGGTTCATGGGTACTCGTGGGTTTTTGTGGTAAAATATTTACAATAACAAATTTTTTTTTAACTAAAAGTTTAACATAAATTTTCTCATAAAAAAACACCAATCTAGAGCATACAAGCAAACCGCAAATGATCAATACAAATTGTTCAAAATTAAAGATAAACATCTATAAACAATAAGATTAATTGGAAGCTTCTTCCTCGTCAACTAAGTTTCTTCACCCTCCACTTCATAATATCAACTTCATTCTAAACAATTAGAAATAGGAATGGCAATGGGGCAGGTTCGGGGCGGGTTTCTTGGTACCCAGACCCGCCCCGTGGCAGGGCGGGTCCAGGTCGGGTAATTGATCACGGGTCGCGGGTCGGGGCAGGTCGACCCAATGGGTATGCAATTTATTTGAAAAACATTAGAAATATTCGTTATTTTTATTATAAAACTAAGAAAATAAACAATATTATGACAATTGTAGTTAAATTATTGAAGAAATTGAGGTTTTCACTAATTTACAACTTTATTATAGCTAAAATATGATGCGATAAAGGTAAAATTCAAAGTAATTTGACTAAGATTTCATGTAATTTAGACAAGAACGGGTCGAGAATGGGGCGGGTCAGGGCAGGTCGGGTCGATGAGACTACCCATGCCCGCCCGCCCCGCCTACGGGGCGGGTCGGACCCGCCCCAAAACAGGTCAAACAGGTCGGGTAAAACGGGTCAGGTCAAAATTGCCATCCCTAATTAGAAAGAACAACTTATACATGTCTCCACAAACATAAAGAATATTAGTTGTTTAAGGAAGATATATTATTTACAATATTAAATATACCTGGAAAGTAATTATATATGTGTGAGCGGGTACCCATGGGGCGGGTTTACCTAAACCCAAACCCAACCCGACCCGGCGAATAGTGTAGCGAGTTTAAACCCGAACCCGGCCCAAAACCCGTCAACACGGATTTTACCCGCGTTGACCGGATTGGGTCGGATGGGTACCCGTGGGTTCGGGTTTTGTTGCCATCCCTAGCCATCCTAAGCAAGTCAGTTTCCTGTAGCAAGCTCCAACGTGGCTTGACCTTGCGTAAGTTTCTGAGTTGATGATAACCCTTGGGGATTCTGATGCAGGGAGGTTCTAGATAAATATGATGAATTTTATTGCATTTTGTCCATTAATCATTTTAAAGAGAATTCAATTCGATGTGAAGATTTGTTATGAGGTCTTAAATTTGTTTTGGCTTTGTTAATACGTTTATTCAATTTGGTCCTTGTTTTGGTTGTTTATGATTTGGAGAAGGTTCAATGCATACCATCTTTAATTACACCTAACTTGTAGTATTATTAGTTATAATAAACATCACTGTTTTTCCTAGCATATATGATTTTGAGGGCTATATTACAAACTTTTGTCGTTGGCCTCATCATCTTAAATACCAAATTAATTAAAAGGCGATCTAAATTTCTAACGGAGTGACCTTTTCTTTCTACTAATAATTATAATTTGTCACTAATTAACAATTCATCTAATAATGTACGCAATATTATGTATTAGTTGCAACTAGTTGCTCACTTTATTGTTACAATTCATCATCTTACTGCTAACTCCTCGAGTTTGAAATCCGACAGTCAATCAAATAATAATGCACAAGATGAGCATAAAGTGTTTATAGTTGAATCTAACAAAATAACATAGACATTTATATTTCAATAAAATGTGACATTACAAAATGATAAATTCACATATTTATAAAATACGATATTATAAAAGTTTATAGTTGCATAACCATTGAAATAAATAAGACAAAATTGTAGTTAAAAAATAAGTAATGGTAAAAGGGTAAACTACCATCATGAATTTTAATCCATCACCTAAATCCCATCTCAAGAGGTACAACTCCCAAATCCGTGAGATCCACGAATTTGGACGCTCAAAGTCCGTGGCCCCTACAGATTTCATCTTTCTAATTCGTTAATGCAAACAATAAATTTTCGTTCAAATCTCGTGATAGATGGATTTTCATAATCAAATCCATAATCACAACCATAAAGCAAACCATCCGTTAAGTAGTAATGGTTTCGTTATGTTAGTTAGCCTAGCCGGCCTACATCAATCTGAATAAAACGATGAAGAAGAAAATGTAAAAGGGAGTTATATTCTATACCGTTCTATATCTTTTATTTTGTTTCGTCCCTTTTACAATGAACAAATAGGGACTAGATGTCGCCGGACTCCTCTCATAACTGAAATGCATTTGACTTGATTAAAGTGTTAGAAAAAGTATCTATCTAATTAATTAAAATTGATTAGGTGTAACTAGAGAAGCATGGAATGGACTGCATGCCACAATTATTGAAATCGGCGGAGGAATATATTCTCATGTTTTGTTTGACTCGTGGACGGTTTCAAACATTATTTTAGTTAGGCTGTCTTGTTTTTTACAGCTAATTATGATTACTTATTTGTTTGTTGTAGGGCTGTGTGGAAGGTAATGATCAATCATATGGGTAGATTTGGCAGTTGCTGCCTGTGGCCTGCTGCTGGTCTGCTCTGCTGCGTGCTATGCTTATGTTATTGTTATGTTATGTTGCTGCTGCTAAATCAATATTCAATAGTAGTAAGCAAAGGGGTTGCATTTTGCTCTTGAAGATGATGATCCACTCTTGCCTCGCTTTCCCACATTCCTTCCCTTGTCACTCAATTAATAATTCAATTCTGCCAAATCCTAATACCTAATTATCTTTCTTTTGCCTCATCTTTTTTTCCTTTGTCCTTATCTGTCCGGTTTATAGAACTTCTAATCACTGTTTTTTTCTTCTCAAAATAATTGTAGAGTTTCCATTTATTGGATATATATAATAGATGAACTTCATTCCTGGTATGGATTTTTTGAAATCACAATAATATCTTGAATTATTAACGCTCTGTACCATTTATGGGTAATGATTGGTGCACGGCAGACGTATAGTATACATAAGGTGATCTAACCGTTAGATGTACTTAGATGAGCTCCGGCCGATCTTAACGGTCAATTTTTGTTTTTCATTAAATCAAACTTGTATAGAATATCATAATAGTAATATCAGAAGACTAAAGACTAATAGAAATAGAATCACTTTTTGTTTGTTTTGCGATTCTACCCAAAACCCCATATATAGTGTCGTTTGGATGTGGAAATTT